ACGGCCCATCCAGCTAGACGCCGTTCCTCTCAGGATGGGCCGTGCACAGACGGCTGCGCGGACGGCGAGCCCGCCGAGGTCGCTTGGGAGGGATTGAGCGCGGACTTCAGGTTACACCTGAAAATCTGACGGTTCTCGCTCCCCATCGAGCTCTTCTTGCCGCACGGCTCTTTCTGTGTGCTGGCACAGAGCTCCGTGCAAGCAAGCTGCGTGATAGGAACGAGTGTATCGCTTTGACGGATCGACCGTGCTTGTTATCCACATCGATGTGACGCACACAGTGACACATCAGAACGACACATGCTCTCCCCCCCGCCGGGACGCAAAACGCTCTCGACGAGAGCCACAAGAAGGCGTCCGCACAGCAAGCCGCTCGTCGGACAGGCGTGCTCGCTCGATGTCGGCGATCGCATGGCGCACGCCTTGGTGGCGAAGCCAAAAACACCGGCAGTGGCCGTCCGCTGGCGTGAGCGGCGGCGGTCGAGACCTCACCCTTCACGCCGATGAGCGCGGCAAGCATCCCAGCGGCGGAGCTGGCGGCGTACGACGCGGTCGTCTACCTCGGCGGGCTGACCGGCCGGGCGGCGTGCGACCGGCACACGCGCGAACAGACCTTGTCGGAGAACGTCGACGACCCGCTCGCGCTCGCGTCGCGCATGGGCCCCTCCCAGCTGCTGGTCTTCGCCTCCACCTCCGCCATCGCCGAAGGCTCCGGCCAGCGGAGCGCGCGAGAGGACACGGCGGTGCGCACCGAGCTGCTCGACTCGTACTCATCCTCGATGCACCAGCGCGAGGCCGCCATGCGACAGCTCGCCGCCAGCAAGCCCGCCGGCGCACCGCAGCTCGTCGGGCTGCGCTTCGGCACCGTCATCGGCGTCTCACCCGGGCAGCGCGTCGACCTGGGCCCGCCGGCCATGCTCAAGTCGGCGTACACGACGGGCGTCCTCAAGGTGGCTCACCCCGAGACGTCACGCGCCTTCCTGTGGCTGGAGGACCTGTGCCGCGGCATCTCGCGCACCATCGAGCTGCGGCGAGGCGGCGCCGCGATAGCGCCGCCGGCGACGGCCCATCACAGCAAGCGTTCGGCGCCGTCGTCGTCTTCGATGGCGCCCGCCGCGCCACCGCCGTTTGCCATCTACCATCTGAGCTCGTTCAACTCGAATGTGGGCGCGCTCGCGGCCGCCATCGCCGCGCGCACCGGCGCGCGTATCGCCGCGTCCAACCACGGCACCGCGTCGAAGGACGTGCTCGGCTTCTCCCTCAACAACTCCCTCTTCGCGCGCACGTACAACTTCAGGGTCCGCGGCTCGCTCGCCACGGCCATCAGGCAGCTCGACGGCGCCGTGCCTGACTCGCTCATTGGCAAGGGCGCGCACACGATGGCGGTCCACGTGCCGCCCGCGGCGGACGAGCCGACGCCGACGGACGCCACGTGCGACGGCTTCAAGCACGACCACGCCCACTGCCCGCACGCGCTAACGCACGCGCCGCCTCCGCCTGCCACCAACAGCGGCGGCGTCAACGTGACCTCCATCCGCTGCCCCGTGTGCGGCTCGCACGACATCCAGCTCGCGCTCGACCTGCGCGGCCAGCCGCTGGCCAATGACTTCATGAAGACGACCACGGAGGCGCTGCGCGCCGAGAAGTTCCCGCTCGCGCTCGTGCACTGCCGCCAGTGCCACCACATGCACCTCTCGCAGCTCGTCTCGCGCAAGCGCCTCTTCTCCGACTACATGTACGTCTCGGGCACGTCCAAGACGCTCCTCAAGCACTTCGAGTGGCTGGCGCAGAAGATCCAGGCCGACGTGGAGACGCTCCCGCTCGAGGGCGCGCGCACCAAGCGCGCGGTGCTCGAGCTCGCATGCAACGACGGCTCGCAGCTCGACGCCTTCGCGAGGCTCGGCTGGAAGACGTACGGAGTCGACCCGGCGGCCAACATCGTGCCCACCGCCGTGGCCAAGGGGCACCAGGTCAAGGTGGGCTTCTGGGGGGCACAGAGCGTGTGGCCGCCCGAGGGCAAGCCGGTGGTGCTCGACGCGATCGTCGCGCAGAATGTGCTCGCGCACGTGCCCTCACCCACGCAGTTCCTCAAGGACTGCGCCGCGGCGATGGGGCCGCGCACGCTGCTCTTCATCCAGACGTCGCAGTGCGCCATGCACGAGGACGGCCAGTTTGACACGGCGTACCACGAGCACCTCTCCTTCTTCACGTCGCACTCGTTTGAGCGCGCCGCCACCGCCGCCCAGCTGGCGGTCCTCTCCTTCGAGACCGCGCCCATCCACGGCATCTCGTGCCTGTGGAAGCTCAAGCGCGCCGACGGCGAGTCGTCGGGCGCGCTGGCGGGCGGCACGAGCCTGCGGGCCAAGCTGGATGAGGAGGTGCGCCTCGGCATCACCACTGACTTCTTCTACGAGCGCTACCGCATGCGCGCCGAGGAGACGTCCGCGTGGCTCGACACCCAGCTCGCGGCGCTCTCTGCGGCGGGCTACAGGCTCGGCGGCTACGGCGCCGCCGCCAAGGGGATGGTGCTTCTCCACTTCATGCTCGGCCGCGGCGGCGCCAACGCGGCGGCGCACTCACTCGAGTTTGTGCTGGACGACGCGCCGATGAAGCAGGGCACGTACTGCCCCGGCACCACCATCCCCGTGCGCCCGACGCGCTCCCTCGAGGGCGTCTTCACCGCCGACGAGAAGCCGCTCGCCCTCGTCATGTTCGCGTGGAACTTTGCGGCCGAGCTCTTCGGCAACCTGCAGAAGCTACTCGCCGCCGCGCCGCCGACGCGCTCGGGGCGGCCGCGCGTCGTGCTGGCGGTGCTGCCCTTCCCCACGCCGCGCGTGGTCACCCTCGAGGGCGACACCGTTGCCCAGATGCACTACCATCCCGCCCAGATCGGCGCGACCTACAGAGGGTTGGTGGGCGCGGCCGGTGCGCGGCGCGCGGTGCTACTGACGAGCTTCGCGGACGACGCGGCTGTGCTGCCTCACTGGATCCGCCACCACGCGCACATGTTCGACGAGGCCATGCTGCTCGACTGCGGCTCGGCCGACGCGTCAGGCGTCATCATCGAGCGCGAGGCGCCGCCCACCTGGCGGGTCGTCCGCGCGCCCAATGCCTCCTCTGCCCTCCACGGCTGTGCGCACCATCTCGCGAGCCACGCGGCCGCCGCCGCCCCGCACGACTGGGTCTTCCCGCTGCAGCTGCACGAGCTGCTGGTGCACGGCGACCTGCGCGGCGCGCTCGCCGCCCTCGACGGCCAGGCGGGCCCGCCACCCCTCGCGGCGACGCTGCAGTTCCCCGCGCTGCAGATGGCGGTCTCCTCCGCCGCCAGGGCACCCGCCGACCGCTTCACTGACCTGGCGACGCAGCGCTCGCAGTACCATCCGGCGGCGCCGCTGGCCACCTTCCGCGCGACGACGGGCGCCGCCAAGCGCCATGCGAGCGGGCAGGTGCAGGCGCTCTCCAGCAAGGACGGCTTTGTTCTCGTCTACCCGCCGATCAGCACCGCCCACGGCAACAGCAACAGGGGCGGCGGCGGCCGCGACGCGGCGGCGGATGCGGACACGGGCGACCTCTCGGAGCTATACGAGGTCATTGCGAGGGGCCCGCGGCCGGCCGGGGCGGGCGGGCCCTCCGGACTGTGGCCCACCCGCGAGGCCTTCGCGCTGCACCGCATCTTCCACGAGGCGGGGCTCTCGGCGCCGCCGCAGGGCCGCGCGCGCCAGCGTCGCAAGCGAGCTCGCCAGGCGTACGATTAACTACCGCTGACACGCGAGCGGCGATCCGGACTGGAGGAAATAACGTGGCTGGGTGGCGTGGGGCTGGGGAAGAGCGGTAGGCGTACCGTTGCGTCTTAGACGCCACAAGCATCTATAGATGCACAGCTGTTCTGAGATGGTACTTGCATACTAGATCACATTTTACTAAATGGACAGGGAAGCGTGTAGCGTCTCAGGAGCGACACTCAGGTTTCGGCCGCACTCCCTGGCACCGAAGGTGTCCCGGCGGAGGTGGTGGAGTTTGAGACCTGAGGCTGCGGAGGTGACGCCTGAGGTACCGGCCCGTGCACAGCGACTCAGCCTGCGACCGCCACGGGCTCAGGCGAGACTTGTCGACTCGTTCCGGCTCAGCTTCACCGTGGTCATCGGGCGTCTGTCGACGTCAGGACCACCCATACAGCTCGCGGGTTTGAGGTCGCAAGAGCCAAGATGGTGGCGTTTGGACATCCCAACCATCACACAAGACAGCCTGTAGGTGATGGCGGGACGGCGCAGTGTTTGTGGCACTCGGCAGTAGCACCCGCGGCACGGCCCCGCTGTCGGCTCTCGCGGGCTGCGGAACCGGCCCCAGAAGGGGACGGTTCGGGCGAGTGTGGCAGCTCCTGCGCTAGTATGGGCAGCCTCTATCACAACACTACTGATCCTGGTCATTAGAGCTGCTAGGGGTAGCGTCAGGAGCCGGTAGGAGTCAAAACCCCTCATATTTGAGACATCGTGGCCCATATCCTCGCACAACGAGCCACCGAGGGGGGAGCACGAAGCTTCGAAGGCGGTGTGAAGTGATCTCTCGGCACCCCCCTGGCCCTGCCTTGAGTGCTCGCGAGAGGTCTCTCCTCACGGCCTGCCCCTCCTGGAGAATCAGGTGCTCAGCACCGCGCATGCATAAGGTGCCTCGGGCCAGTTGGGGGGTGCAAACCCTGCCCGGCCCCTAGGACCCCAGGTAAGGCCCAGGTGTGGCCTAGGGCATCAGAAGGGACCAAGAGGAGTCCAGTCTGAGCCATAGAGCCCATGTCTTTGCCCCCGAAGGTCGCGTTCAAATGCCCGGAACGGACGTTACAGTGGTGTCCGGCCGGCGCGATCACCGAGCTGTGACGCTCAGGGAAGCCGGTTGAGGTACTGGTTTCTTTGCCCAGGGCTGGCCTTCCCCCCAGGCTGGATCAGCTGAGCAAGGTTTGGGGAGAATCCTATAGTAGGATCTTCAGATATTTTGACGGATGACCGTAAATGGGCAAAAACGGGGTGAAGCCAAGGGACGACGAGCTCTGGCCGCCAACGGTGTTTGAGCCATTTGCGGAGTGGCTGGAGTCCCCTTCTACCAGCCGCTCAGGAAGAAAGAGGCAGCGCGAGCCGCTTACGGGGGCCAAGCTCCGCGAAGCTCCGCCTGATGGGCATTGGCCGAAGATGGCCCGTACACCGGACGAGCAGCTCGGGCGTGAGAGGTGGTGGAAGGAGCGGAGCCATGTGCCAAAGGGCTTGTCGGCCGGGTTTCAAAAGACGGCGAATTCTTTTCTGGGAGAACGCCTTGGCGGATCGAGCTTTTTCTCCGCCCAGGGCCCCGATGGGCCGATGGAGCTCGCGGAGGCCAACTTTGGCCGCATGACATGACATGACACGAACATCACGACGCATCCGTGCCCGCGCCCGACCCCCCACGGCCCACTCCCCCCGAACCCAACCACACCCTACCCTTTTCTGCCCAGAGCGGTGGTTGAGGCCGATTGCCTCAACTGTCAACCAGCGGGTTGACAGAGGTCTCAACCATCAACCAAGTGGTTGACAGACCCCTTCATCCTTCTTCAACCACTAGGGTAGGTAGGTAGAAAGGTGAAGAACAGCCAGGCTCGGACTGGACACCAACGCGGTATGGGTGGACGCTGGACAGATGATAACCACTGACACTCGCCCCGCGACCCTACCCTACCCAGCAATCATCTCGAACCCAGCGAGGAATGGCTGCTCCCCTCCCTTTCGTTGGGACCGAGAAGGTGGGTATCCAGCCAAAGGGCCTGGCTCTAGCAATAACGACCGGCGCGTGCCTCGCCGCCGGCTACTCCCTCCTGTCTGACCACGATGTTCAGCGGACAAAGAAGTCGGTCGCCGGCGGCTCCCTCTTCTTTCTCGGCTCGTACCTCTTCATCCGTGGCACACGGTTTGACGACGCGCAGACCGGCGCAGTGGTCACCGCCTGCTTCACTCTGGCTGCGATCATTGCTTATGCGCGCGCAAACCCGAGGTGAAAGCTGAGCGGCATTTGGTTGCAGGAATTAGATTGTGGCCCGCCCGTTTGTGTGTTTCCAGAGCTGCATAAGTCGCTCAGTCGAATGATGTGACGCGCGAGCTCTCTCTCTCGTAGCCCCGCGGGAGAGCCGTCGCTGAGAGCAGAGCGCGACGCCGAGCCGCGAGCGCCGCCCAGCTCCGCTGCGCCCGCTGGCAACTCTGGCAGCACAATCATACACGGTACCGTACATAGAGCGTACAGCGCCCGAGAAGAGAGAACCGAGCCTCAATCGCTCGGCCCTTTTAAAAAAGACCGGGATAATCAACGCTGGCCAGCCGCCCGCCATACACGAGATAGTGGGCACCCCAAGCTGACACGCAACACGCACACCATCACCAAAGTCCAAACGCCCCGCTCTCTCATCAGCTCCCGTCGGACCCGGAGGCGCCGCCCGCGTCGATCATAGGAAGCGGCACGGGTGTGCACGGCACGTCGAGCAAGACGCCCACCTGGGGGGGGGGGGGGGGCACGGGGCTCTGTCCTGGGGGCTGGGCGTGGGCTCGCGGGTGGCCGTCGCGAGTCCGTCCGCCACCCGCGACCTCGCCTGGTTGTCCTGGAGCAGCGGCGGCATCAAAAGCCAAACCGCCATCGACACCTGGGCGCGCTTGTTCCACCCAATCTTTGCGTCGTAACACATCTGCACCACGACGGGCTGCCCCTCCTGCAAGGGAGGCGGGCGGGCTGGGCAAGGGGGGGGGGGAAAAGGGGCGGGGGAACACCAAAAAAAAAAAGGCGGGCGTGCGTGCGTGCGTGCGTGCGTGCGTGCGTGCGTGCGTGCGTGCGTGCGTGCGTGCGTGCGTGCGTGCTGCGTGTGCGCGCGTGCGTGCGTGCATCTGTGTGTGCGTGTGTGAGCATGTGAGTCTGAGTGTGGTGCGCCCCGCCTGCCGGACCACCGTCAGCCCGTCACGCTCCGCCGCCGCTGCCAGCTCCCTCGCCGCGGACAGCACCGCCTTGTTGCTGGGCAGGCCTCGGATGCTGCGCGCCGCGAGCCTGCGGTGTGAATACGACGGGCAGGGTGTGGAGACAGCGCCGTGCGGTCCCTTCCCCGTGCAGACGGGGGCTGCCGAGTGCAGGGGGCGGGAGGCAGTCGCAGCAGAGACTTCTCGAGTGCTCGTCGGAGCAGAGAGCCCCCCCCCCCCCCCCCCCTGGGGTTGGTTTAACCCCGTTCTAGAACCCATGCTCGCCTCATCGACGGGCGGGGCACGTACTGGACGCTCTGCGACGTGACCCCTTGGGGCCTGGTACCGCCGCTCCCCCCGTCGGGCGAGGGCAGCTCTGCAGCCGGCAGGCAGGCGAACGCCGCCGGCAGCGGCAGCACCCACCGGCGCCGCTGCGCGACCTGCCTCATGTTGCCCGGCAGCTGCTGGCTCAGGCGGCCGCGCTCGAGCAGGCTCGGCGCGACGCAAGAGTACCTGCAGGAAGGTTCCAAGAAGGTTCCAAGAAGGTTCCTGTGCGTCCCTGGTGCGGAGCGGAAGCGGGTTGAGCACGGGGCGTGCAGAGAGAGGGTGTGATGAGGCGTGCAGAGAGAGGGTGGGCTCGCAGTTTTTTCCCCCCCCCCCCCCTCCCCCCCTCCCCCCCCCCCGGGGCAACGAGGGCTGCCGCGGAGCTCTGCTGCGCCCCGCTGCGCGCCGCCTCTCCGCCCCGGCGCTACCGCCGCCTCCCTCTCCCAAGGGGGCGGCGGGCGCGGCGAGCGAGCACGCGGCTAGAGACCTCTCCAGCGGGGCTTGGGGGGGGGCGCGCGCCACTCCGACCGCTTGACTTCGCCCGTGAAGGCAAACTCGGGCGGGAGCGGCGCCTGGCGGCCGCAGCAAAAGAGCGACTCACGATGACAAGGCGCCGGTGGTGGGAGTGAGATTGGCAAGCGGCGGGGAGGCGTGCGCCTGCTCGGCGAGAAGCAGCGTCTGCGTCTCCACCCACTCCGCCTGCACGGCGACCATCGGAGGGACGCGGAGCACGCGGTAGTCGTCCGTCGTCCGCTCCGTCCACATCGGCACCTGCGCGGCCACACAGCAGCAGCAGCAGGGAAGGGAGAGTCGCCCCTCTCGCGTCCGCAGGCCACGCCGCATCCCACCACTGCGCGGGTCGGTGCGGTGGGCAACTGAGCTCGGCTAAACCTCGGCACTCGATCTCGGCTCGATCTCGGCTCGATCTCGGCGCACGTGCTCCGCGGTGGGCGAGTTCCACAGAGAGACGAGGTCGCGCAAGCGAGGCGTCACCTGCCGCCCGAACACGTCGAGCGGCGCCTCGTGCCATGTCTCCTTGATCGCCCGCACACGCGGGCCGCCGCCGCCGCCGCCGCCCGACTCGAGCAGCAGCTCCGACTCGGCGAGCAGGTTGACGCGCGAGCGCCAGGCGCTGGGCCACTCGACGCCGAGGGACCACTGCACCTTGGCCACGCCTGGCCGGACCACGCCTGTCGACAGGACCGCCAGCGCCGGCGGAGTCCTCCCCGCGTTTGTGAAGAAGCGGCACGCGCCGGCGAGATCGTCGAGATAGTCGCGGGCGCTAGCGCAGCTCCAGATCGGCGTCTCAACCCGCGTCTCGGGGAGCAGCATCCGCCCCAGGCCGGCGTCGTCACCCTTCCACGCCTCGACGAGCGCCATGGCGAACGCCTCGGCAACGCCTTGCTCCAGCCGCCCGCCGGCTCCTCCAACCGCAGTCGCGTCGACGAGGGCGCCTCGGACGGCCGCAGCGCGTCGCCCCGATCGGACCTGCCACACACCGGGCGAGAGGCCCGAGGGCGTCGAAGGCAGGTATGCCGCCGAGCCGAGCAAGCTGCAGAGGGCGATCATTTGCCCGACAAATAGGAGGAGGCTCAAGGCGCGAGAGCGAGCAAGCAAATAAGAAAACAAGCTCTGTGTCGTAAAAAAGAAGGAGCGAGCAAAAATCGGGGTCTCGCTGTCGTCGGAGCTACTCGCTCTTTGAGCTCATAACACATGCGGCCCATCCCCGGCCCGGCGCTGCGCCTGCGCGGCGGCCTCGGGCCGACACAGCTCTCCCGGCCCGCAGTCCCTCCGACGCCGGTGACGGAGGAGGTGCCGTGGCTTTCACTCGGCCTGAGTGGTGCCGCGCTGCTCGCGCTGCTCCCGCTCCTCCTCTCGATGCCGCGGCAGGCGGGTGTCACCGCGGGCGCGATTGCCGTTTCGCTGCTGCAGATGGCGGTGCTCGACGCTCCGCCGGAGCAGGCGCTGCTGGAGGGCGTGCTCGCGCTCGTCTGGTCCGGCGTCATCACGCTCAAGGAGGCGCTAGCTGGCTTCGCCTCCGAGGGCGTCGTCGCCGTCGGAGTCATGAGTGCGGTCGCTAAGGGCGTGCAGGCGGGCGGAAGTAGGGGCCTCCGCTCTCACGCCGGGGGTCACCCGGGGAGAGGCTGGCCAGGAGAGAGGCGGGCCACGGGGCGAGGCCCGGCCGGGGCGGCCCACCCGCACACTCGCACGGCCGCCTCGTTCCGCGCAGGCGACGGGCGGGCTGGCCTACATCTCGCGCTTCCTCCTCGGCCGGCCCTCGTCGCGCCTCGCCGCCGTGCTCCGCCTCGTGCGCCCTCCTCTCCGCTCCTCGCCGCTCCTCTCCCCTCCTCGCCGCTCCTCTCCGCTCCTGTCCGCACCTCTCCGCTCCTCGCCGCTCCTCGCCGCTCCTCCGCTCCTCGCTGGCGGTAGCAGTCGCGCAGAGGTGCGGCGCCTCCCGGTGTGTAGGTGCTCCCCACGATGCTGCTCTCGGCGGTGCTGAACAACACGCCCGTCTGCGCGATGCTCATGCCCGTCGCGCGCTCGTGGGCCGCCTCCCTCTCGCCCGCCGTCGCGCCCAAGCAGCTGATGATGCCCCTCTCCTTTGCGACTATGCTCGGAGGCACCATCACCCTCATCGGCTCGTCGACCAACCTCGTCGCCGCGGAGGAGCGAGATGAGCCGGGAGGAGCGGAGATGGAGCCGAGATGGGGCCGAGGAGCCGAGATGGGCCGTGGTGAGCCGAGATGGACCCATCCGCACCTGCCTCTCGCCTCGCCGGAGGGGATTGAGCCTCGAGCGCGCCCTCGCCTCCGGCCCCTCGCCCCGAGGCAAAACACCGCGCCCGAGCCCCCACCGCATCCGCTCACGCGCCAGGCCGCGCGCAAGCACGACCCGACCTCGCCGATGGGCATGCTCGGCATCACTCCGGTCGGACTCGTCAACGCCGCCGCTGGTGCAGCCTCGAGATGTAGCCGAGATGCAGCTGAGATGTAGCCGAGATGTAGCCGAGATGGAGCCGGTCGGACTCGTCAACGCCGCCGCCGCCGCCGCGCGCACAGCCGACGCACGCGACACGTCCATGACACGTCCGCGACGAGTCCGGCAGGCGCCGCGTACATGGTGGCAGCGGGCGGCTCGCTGCTGCCGGACGGAAAGAGCGCGCCCCTCGCGCCGCGCGCAGCGCCGTCCTCCGCTCCGTCTGCGGTGGCGGCGCCTCCTCGCGGCGTCGCCCGGCTGTGGCTCACTCTCGGCGAGCGGACTGGGACGACGTGCGCTTGCGGCCCGACAGGTCCGGTGACTGGTGAGTTGAGCTGCGTGGCTAGGCGTCCTGACTGGGACGATGTGCGTCGCGGCCGCCTCGCCGCCGCTCCTCGTCCCAACGGCCCTCTCCGCGCTGTGCGTGCTGATGCGGCTCGGCTGCATGGACCTCTCGGACGCGTGGGCGGCGGTCAACGGGCCGGTGCCCCTCTCTCGCCGCGCCCCTGCGGCCCTCCCCGCAGCCGCGTGCTTCAGTGAGCAGCCCCCACCCGCGGGGTTAGGTGCTCCTCTCGATCGCTCTTTCCTTCGCGCTCGGCAAGGCCATCGAGGTGTCGGGCCTCGCCGCCTCGGCCGCCTCCTCCCTCGTCGCGATCGTCGCGCCTTTCGGCGCGCTCGCTCCCCCCCTCCCTCTCCCCTCGCCGCCTCATCGCTCGGCCTCTGCCGCCAGGCCCCGCACGGTGGCCTCCGCAGGCTCGCTCGCCCTCCTCTTTGCAATCTACGCGGTCGCCATCGCCATCGGCGCCGTCATCTCCAACAACGCCGTCGTGGTGCTCATGTTCCCGATCGTCGTGCGCATGTCGGAGGCGTCGGGCGTGCCGTGGCGCGCCGCGCTCTATACGCTGACCATGGCCGCCTCCGCCTCGTTCTCCACGCCCGTCTCGTACCAGACCAACCTGATGGTGTCGCGCGACGCCGACTACGCCTTCGCCGACTTTGTGCGCTTCGGCTTGCCGCTGCAGCTCGTCTGTATGCTCGCCACCGTGCCCACCTGCTACCTGCTCTACAAGTAGCGATTTGCAGGCAGCTTCGGTCGGCGGAGCCGCCGTTACGCTGCGCGCGGTTTGGACTTTGACAGAGCCACTCCCCACACACGCGTACAATCTGCAGCACGGCGCACGCCCAACATACAGTGTTTGTTTGCATGAACAAAAAACAGTCCACCCTAAAGGGGAAGGACCCTTGACGCAATAAAAGTTAAAACCACCCCCGCGGGGCCAACCCTCTTCGGTTTCGTCGGTTCAAGTGCACTATGACCAACGAAACCCGAATAAGAAAACGTGTACCCCCCTTCGAGTGTATCTTGAGTGTTGCTGTGGAGCGTCCGGTTTCAACACGCGCTTGCGCGCTCGCGTCTGCTGGCGCCCAGAGAACGTGTTGCACCACATGCTCCCGGCGGAGCCCAACTGCTCGCACTCGACAAGGCAGTCCATCCACTCGCGGCAGCTGAAGTCGAACTTCCACTCGATGCGGCTCGCGCCGGATTGTGAGCTCGGCGAGCGAGGTCGGAGAGCGACCTTCAGTTGGCCCAAGCCGCACGCCACTGAGGCAGAGCGGCCGTGCCGCGTGCGCGTACGACGGCCACTCTGCACCGACCGCAGCGCTGCATTGCGACCGCAGTGGCTCAGCTCAGCCAGGGCTCGCTCGCCCAAGCTCGGAGCCGCTGCCGGTCATGGGCAGCAACAAAGATTTGACGCGTCGCTCGGTGCAGGAGGGCACTGCAGTAGAGGTGCAGAGGCCGTCCGGCGCGCGCGCGATGGGCTACGGCTTCATTGGCAGCTACCAGAGCGCGTCTGGAGCGCTGCCATTGTGTGACCCCAGGTCATGCAAAATAAATCTGAGTTTTATTCCGCGGTGTACACTGAAAGCAGCCACAATGGCTGGCGAAGACTGCCCTGCTGCGCCGATCTTCACCTCGACGCCGCTCGAAGGCCCGAGCTCCGGACGCCAAACGGGCCGGAAGGAGCCGAGGCTGGGTGGTCCGGATGAGGATTTTCGATCGGTTCTGAGCTCTACTGTGGGGTCAACGGCGTCGTTTGGGCGTCAGGTGCGCGCGCCCGCCGTTTGCCCGCAGAACTCCGTGGAATCGCCCCGTACCCCGCCGCACTCGCGTCGTATCGTGAGCTGTGCCTGTGCTGGCCCGGTAGGCCGCGCGCCGACCGTGGCCAAAGAGCTGGCAGAGAGTGCTGCCCTGTCCTCTCTGGCCTCATACAGCGCCGCCCGCTGACGGCTCAGCTTCTGACCCGCCAGGCGCTCGTCAGGCGTGCGGAGGCGATCTTCTTCGGCTTGGACCAAGCGTACCAGCCCTCCGGGGCTGCCGCGGGTCGCCCAAGTGGTCACCTTCCAGCTGATGGAGTGTGCAGATGATGCCATTAAGGCGCTCTTCGCCGCCGACGGAGCCGGCCTGAAGGGAAAGGTGTCCAAAAAGAAGGCGCTCGCGCAGCTCCTGTGCGACTATGGAGGACCCGTCGCCAGACGACGCAGGGCAGAAGACGGTGAGGCGGAGCAGACGTGCAGGGCGAGACGAGGGAGGGAGCAGGACTTTGCGGAGATCAGCAGGAGGATGTACGAAGAGATTAGGAGCAGCAGGGACCCGAGGGACCATGTGGAAGACGGCTAGTGCTAGTCCCCCATCGGGAGGACGACCCCGGCTAGTCGCCGACCACACCCACAAAGAACCCTGCACAAAGATCGCAAGGGCGGGGACCTGTTCCTTTTTACCCACCTCACAGTAGAGAGGTGTCCGTTTTTATTTATTTATTTAAGGACCCTGAGTTCGTCGGGGGGGTGTTGCCGGCGCTGGTAGATGATCTCTCGGAGAAGAGCCGGAGGGACCTTGGCGCCGGGGTCACGAGGAACTTGCAAGTCGTGGCCGAGGCGGCGACGGGAGCGGTGCAGAGGTGGATCCAGCTCAATGATGAGGCTACGGCGCGCATAATGAAGAGAGAGGAACACATCGAGTGGCTGAGGAAGCTCTTCACTGGGTGGAAAGAGGCTCGGCCGGCCTTGAGGGAGTCGCGGAGGAGGAGGGATAACGCAGGCAACGCAGGGACGGGCCAACAGCCAGTGGGACGAACGAGGGCCGCGACGGCGGCTCAAGTGGGAGGGAACGGAGACGGTGGGCAGCGAGCGAAGTGGGTGAGACTGATGATGCTCCTTCGACTTAGGGAGCGGTTCAGCAGCTGGGCGGGCTTCAGGCTGGTGCTCACGCGAAAAGGAGTCGTCGCGATGTGCAAAGCATACAAGAAGGGGAGAAGGAAGAGGAGAGACGCCGGTGATGACGAAGCAGAAACTAGCGCAGACGAGAGCAGGGCAGACCCGGGGACTGGGGAGCCGGAGCAGACGGCATCAGCCGCCGAGGGAACGTTGGGGAGAGGCACGAGGAGGGCGGCGACCTCGACCGACTATGGAGGACCCGTCGCCAGACGACGCAGGGCAGAAGACGGTGAGGCGGAGCAGACGTGCAGGGCGAGACGAGGGAGGGAGCAGGACTTTGCGGAGATCAGCAGGAGGATGTACGAAGAGATTAGGAGCAGCAGGGACCCGAGGGACCATGTGGAAGACGGCTAGTGCTAGTCCCCCATCGGGAGGACGACCCCGGCTAGTCGCCGACCACACCCACAAAGAACCCTGCACAAAGATCGCAAGGGCGGGGACCTGTTCCTTTTTACCCATCTCACAATAGAGAGGTGTCCGTTTTATTTATTTATTTAGGACCCTGAGTCGACCCCTCTCCCGCCGCCGGCCATATAGACATACCGAGGAGTGTTGATCAGAGGGTCGCTCTGCCGGCTCCATCTGTTCACAGCCGCGTCCGTTGTGACCGCAGCGAATATGTTCACACCTTGAGCGGAGGCCAATTGATTCGCGAGACTCCGGCAAAAGTGCGGTTGGCAACGGGCTTTTGCGGACGCAAGCCTTCAGCTGGTGCCAAAACGTACCAAAACGTCCGTCCCGTCGCGGTCGGTAGAAATGGCTTGCTTGCAAGAATGGGATGCCGACAGGCGTCAGGCGGCGCATGCCGAGAAGTCGCTTGCCGTGCGGGAGCTCGTGCGCCTCTCCCTGCGCGTGCAGTCCACGGGCGTCGTCGCGGAGCTTCATCTCGACACGGCACTGGTTGCTCCGAGCGGCAGCGGAGCTGATCACGAGCGACGAATTCGCCGGGGATGCCAGGCAACAGATGGGCGCGCAGATAATTGGCGTGGCGTCCTAAACAACGCGACCGACGAGCATGCTCAACTGCTGCGCGACGCTCTCTGCGACCCCGACTTTTGTATGCGCTTTGCCATTCGCCGCCGCATTGGCTCAGGGGGCACAGTCCGCTTGCAGTGGCTCTTCCGCACGAATAGCGTTGTTGGCCGCACGGAGGAGCAGGTGCGATCGCACATCAACCTACCAGCGGCGTCCTACGAGGCGGCGTACTGGGTGGAGCGCAACTTGAGCAGCTATGATGAAGTGGTGCGGGACGTGATTTACTTGCGGAGCGGGGCTTCCTTCGAGCGCGAGGCGGAGGCTCCAGCCGCGCTGCACCTTGTGGTGCCGCCCGAGTTGGACAAGCGTGGCTATTGGAAGGGTACTGGATTCACAGGTGTGTATTGGCTGCAGCCCGGCCAGCCAGTGTACGGCCACCCCAGCTACCGACACAGCTACGAAGCGGAACACGGTGACAGCTCGCACCCATCTTTGGGTTCAAAAACTCGTGTCTTGGCAGGGCCGTGCTGGGCTGGACCATATGACACTGACAGGGCGCCGTGGATCACGGTCAGGTTGGCCCGGGCTAGGGGCGCAAGCAGTTGGGCCACCAGTGTACCACAATGGACCGCCGGCTACCGGTTTGTGTACGGCTTTGAGGCTATATTTGCTGCCAAAACGACTGCCGTCACTGGTCCCTGGCACCATGGCTTGCGATGCGAGGCATTAACCGAGGAGGAGGCGCACACGCTGCTAGCTGAGCGCCAGCGTGCCACTCAGGATGCTGGCTCCCACCAGACGAGCTCTCCAGAGTCTTTATTGCAAGGACGGCATCGGCTCGACATCCCCGGGATGCTGGCTCAGGACGAGGCGCTCGCAAAGGCCAAAGCAGCCGATGCCGTCAGCTACGCGCGCCTTCCGGCCCCCACCGCCTCCGCCTCCTCCGCCGCCGCCTCCGCTACCGCCGCCGATGACATGGACCAACGAAAAGCGTGAGCAAGTGCTCTCACTTTCGGGGCCACAAATGCCGCATCGGGTACAGCTGAGGCTAGTCGATCGCGTGTACGAGGTGTTCGAGCAGCACGGCAAGCCTGTCAATCACACCACCGTTGCAGCAGCACTAGGGGAGTCGCATCAATCTGCAGTCCGGTCTGCATTGACTATCGCCCGTGAGCGCTGGCGTGAACAACATCCTGACGCCATGCCGTCCTCGAAAGAGGCACTCGCTGCCGTGAAGGGGCTGACGCAGCAAAGGGGATACATGTACCTCAGCGACAAGAAAATTCACGAGGCGTTGCTGCCACAGCTGCCAGGTCTCACTTTCAAGCAAGTGCGGCGAGCTGCGGCGCGCGTGCGCGATCCACAACGGGCTGTCACAACTTACGGGCAAGAGATCCCGGTGTGGGAAGCGTCGCAGCGAGCCTATGTCTTTCCTTCAACCGGCGAACATGTTGCAGGCGACCAGTGGTCAACTCCCACTAAAGGCGAAGCAGGCCGAACCATGCGGCATCACATAGCATGTGGGCGGCCAAACGAACACGAGCTATCCTAAAGCGTAGACTGGCACTAGATGCGTCCTGGCATCGGGAGGGTCCGCCTAAGAGGAAGTACGTTCGTAAGAACTGATACATATACTTTTTGTGCGTGGAGCGTCTTCCCCTTTTGCGCAGCAACACCTTAAACTTTTAGGCCCTCCAAATTCGGGTCGGAGCGTAGGCCGTAGCGGAGTGGGCCCCGAGTTTGAAAAGGGCGACGGACGCTTGCGTCCTAGCCTCCAACAACGCCTCCCCGGCGCAGAGGGGCCCCCGGAGGGATGCACAACCGCTCCACGCCACGCCGCTTGCGGCGGTCCTCTTCCCAGTTCCGCTGAAAGTCCGTGCGTTATTTTTCACGCCGGCGCTCCGTCTTGAGAACACTTGTGGTTGTCGCTCGCCCCCTCGCTCCGCCTCCGGATACATCCTGCCTGTGTTCATGGACCCTCTCGCCGCGCTGGGCGCGTACGGCGAGGACTCCGATTCTGAGGACGAGGACGCGGCGCCGTCGGCCCTGCATTCTTCCGCCGCGTCCCTCGCAGCGTCCACTGCCGCCTCCGCCGCCGCCGCCGCCGCCGCCACCGCGCCCTCGCAACCGGCGCTCCCGTCGGCCTCGGACCTGGGCCTGCCCGACTCCTGGACCAGCACCGGAGGCGACAGCGACGACGAGCAACCGACCGATCCCAAGGGCACGCGCTACAATGCGGTGCCTCTACCGTCCTCACTCGCCGCGGCGGCGGGTCCGGGGTCGAGGCATTCAAAGTCGCATATGCCGGCCGCGTTACCAATCTCGACTCCGGGCGGACCGGCCGAGCCGCCCGCAAAGCGCCGCGCCGTCGCCGCTCCGCAGGCGGCGAGCGGCGCCAAGAAGGCGCTGCTGCCACCGCAGCTGCGCCGGCCGAATGTGGTGACAGAGGACGCAAGGGCCTGGTCCTCAAAGCAGGGCCGGCCGAAGCCCCGTGAGTGAGTGAGGCGCGCGCATACCCGTACCACTCCTGCGCTCGTTGTGTGGGTTGATGACTGTTCTTGGTTAACAGGGTTGATGACTGTTCGTAAATCCATTGTCTATGATCGCAACCCGCTCAGGCTTGATTTTTCTCGTTGCCTCCAGTCGCGCGGCGCCATCGTCCTCGACCCAGTGCCGGCCTGTGGCAAGCTTGGCAGCTCGCGGATCGATGATCGCCACGAGCTGCTGCCCGACGACCCCGCCGCTCGCCTTCTCGACCGACACGACCGTCCTAACAATCGGCGGCGGTGAGCGGCCACCTCCTTGGCTCAGCGCTGGTGTTATCACGTCTCAGCTGCTTCATTGCCATGTCCAGTTATGGCGGAGACGCGCTGATAGCTTTTCCTGTGCACGCGGTTGGACATGGCCATCGGGTGCGTGGCGCAAAAAGACCTGTTTGCGCTGTCTTCGATCTCAGCGGCTACATGCGCTGCTGCGCGTACCTGTGACGCACACATGTTGCTCACATCCATATACCTCACTAACATACAGCTGGCGAGCCTTGCATCCCTCGTCTGGCCATGCTGTGCATCATTTCACCGTATGCAGCCGTATACGCCCACGGTGCTCACAGGGTCGGGTGTCACGGTGCTCGTGGCAAGCATCTCCGTCACTCTTGTGACTTATGGGCTTGGTGGCGTTGCCTCCGGTGCTACTGCTGGCTAGGGTGCCAATGGCGCGACGGGAGGCGGCCATTGGCGCCACTACACTCTACAGCAACGATTGTTAGGCAGGCCGGAAAATCCATACTGCACCAAGTGCACTCCAAGTGCTCCAAGTGCTCCAGTCGCTTTGCGGCTGCCGGACGATGGCGAGAACGTGCGTCACGAGCTTCTGTGTGCGGTGGCGGGCTCGGGGAGCGGAACCAAGCTTGTCAAGGACGCACAGAGGATGGGTCTGGAGGATGGCGAGCGATCTGGGTGCAAGTGGTGCACTCCAGGCGTACCACACCCATTGTTAGACGGCGTGAAAATTCAAGTATTAGCGAAATATCCATCCATCGTTCGAATGCGGGCTGCCAGGGGCAGATTAGAGATGGTGCGCCGAGATGTGAGAAGAAAGACCTTGTATGTAGGTAGAGAGGGAGCTGCTTATACCTCTGGTACGTAGGATGGCCGAACGAGACGATAGTCGGGAATAAACAAAGAAGGATCTCCATGAGAGATGGGCGACGCACGAACACAGAGGCAGAGAGCTACAATGGTTTCTTCAATCGGCTTCGGCCGCGACGCTGGCCACGCCCTGGCCACGCCCTCTCTTTGCTCGATCTGCTGCGAGCCCGGTTCTTCGCGGCCCGCCTCGCGCGTGGACGGGGCCATCTCCGCGCGGCGGATGGGCACCATGAAGGAATGGGTGTCCGACCAGCTCATGAGCTTGCTCGGGTACTCGGAAAACTTTCTCACCGATTACGTGACCAACCTCGCCTCGTCGGAAAAGTCGGCCGCGGCTCTCCTCGCCAAGCTGCACGCGGCCGATGTGCCAAACACGCCGGCGACACGCAAGTTCGCGGAGGACCTCTTCGCGCGGGCGCCGCGTAAGAGCGGCGGCGCCGCGGCACAGCAGAAGGCGCGCGCTGCCGCCGACAAAAAGGAGAAGCTCGACCTGCTCAAGCAGAACGCGGAGTACGGGCTCCTCGATGACGACGACGACGAGGCGGCGGAGACCGAGGCGGCGGTGCAGCGCGCTCTCAAGGAGCGGCAGCGGGCGCAGCGCAAGCGAAGCCGCGCTGCGGGCGACGAGGCGGCCGCTGCCGCGCCGGCCGCGCCGAGCTCCGAGGGAGCGGAGGCGGCCGCGGCGGCTGCGGCGGACACGGAGCGCGCCCGCGACCTGGCGGAGCGCGACGAGTTCGCGGAGCGGCTGCGGCAGCGCGATCTGGAGAAGACGCGCAAGCTGGGCGGCGACGCGCTCGCCGTGGTCGGCCGGCGCGAGGACGAGGCGCGGCTGCTCAAGGCCAACGACGAGGAGAAGGCGAGCGTGCTGGAGCAGCTGCGAAAGGTGTCGCGGCAAGTGTACCTGGAGAAGCGCGAGAAGCAGAAGCTGGAGGAGGCGCGCGACGACGTGCGCGACGAGGAGTACCTCTTCGGCGACGTCGAGCTGACCGCGCGCGAGAAGGAGGAGCGCGACCTCAAGAAGCGTCTTTACGACCTCGCTAACGAGCGCGTCAACATCTCGGACAAGGTGGAGCGGTACACGATGCCGTCCGCGTACGACGACCTCGAGGGCGGCGCGCGGCAGGACGAGCGCTTCGACGGGCTGCTCGCTCGCTACCAGGAGGAGGAGGGCGAGGAGATGAATGAGTTCCAGGCGTGGGACGCCACGCAGATCAAGCGCTCGACGGCGCGGGTCGGAGCCGCTGATCGGCGGGGCAAGGGCGCGCAGATGGGCGAGACGGGAGGCAAGGAGTACGAGCTCGTGATGGCGACCGAGGAGCAGATCGACTTCATCGCCGACGAGATCATCGCAGGCAATCTCGGCGAGCCTGGCGCAGACGCGCCGAAGAAGCCGTCCAAGAAGGACTCGCTCGCGGAGGCGACCAGCCGCCTCGCCCGCCTCGCCCGCCTCGCCCGCCTCGCCCGCCTCGCCCGCCTCGCCCGCCTCGCCCGCCTCGCCCGCCTCGCCCGCCTCGCCCGCCTCGCCCGCCTCGCCCGCCTCGCCCGCCTCGCCCGCCTCGCCCGCCTCACTCCCCTCACTCCCCTCACTCCCCTCACTCCCCTCACTCCCCTCCGCCCCCTCCCCTCCGCCCCCGCCCCGGCACGCCGCGCCCCCGCCGACGCGCCCCGCCTCGCTCCCCCCGCCTCACTCCCCCCCGCCTCACTCCCCCCGCCGGCCGTGCCGCAGGTGCGCAAGACCCTCCCCGTCTTTCCGTACCGCGAGCAGATCATCGAGGCGGTGAACAACTACCAGTGCCTGATCATCGTCGGCGAGACAGGCTCCGGCAAGACGACGCAGGTGCCGCAGTACCTGATGGAGGCGGGCTACTGCGAGGACGGCAAGAAGATCGGCTGCACGCAGCCGCGCCGTGTGGCCGCCATGTCCGTCGCCGCCCGCGTCGCCGAGGAGGTTGGCTGCAAGCTGGGCAACGAGGTTGGCTACTCGATCCGGTTCGAGGACTGCACCTCGGAGCGGACCGCGCTCAAGTACATGACGGACGGCATGCTGCTGCGCGAGTTTCTCGGCGAGCCCGACCTCGCCTCCTACTCGGCGATGATCCTGGACGAGGCGCACGAGCGCACGCTCCACACCGACGTCCTCTTCGGCCTGCTCAAGGACATCGCGCGCTTCCGGCCGGACATCAAGCTGCTAGTCTCGTCGGCGACGCTCGACGCGGCAAAGTTCTCCGAGTACTTCGACGACGCGCCCGTCTTCAACATCCCGGGCCGCCGCTACCCGGTCGACATCCTCTACACGAAGGCGCCCGAGGCGGACTACCTCGAGGCGGCGGTCGTGACGGTGCTTCAGATCCACATCACGCAGGGGCCGGGCGACATCCTCGTCTTCTTCACGGGGCAGGACGAGATCGAGTCGGCGCAGGAGACGCTGCAGCACCGCACGCGCGGCTTCGGCACAAAGATCGCCGAGCTCATCGTCCTCCCCATCTACGCCAACCTGCCGTCCGACATGCAGGCAAAGATCTTCGAGCCGACGCCGCCCGGCGCGCGCAAGGTGGTGCTCGCGACCAACATCGCCGAGACGTCGATCACCATCGACAACATCATCTATGTCATCGACCCGGGCTTCAACAAGATGAACTCGTACAACCCCCGCACCTCGATGGAGTCGCTCATCGTCACGCCGGTCGCAAAGTCGTCCGCGAACCAGCGCGCCGGCCGCGCGGGCCGCGTCGCCCCCGGCAAGTGCTTCCGGCTGTACACCAAGTGGGCCTACCTGAACGAGCTCGAGGACAACATCATCCCGGAGATCCAGCGCACCAACCTCGGCTCGGTGGTGCTCATGCTCAAGTCGCTCGGCATCAACGACCTCATCCACTTCGACTTTATGGACCCGCCGCCCGCGGAGACGCTCATCCGCGCGCTCGAGCAGCTCTACGCGCTCGGCGCGCTCAACGACCGCGGGGAGCTGACCAAGCTCGGGCGGCGGATGGCCGAGTTCCCGATGGACCCGCAGGCCTCGAAGACGCTGCTCTCCGCCGAGCCGTACGGCGTGGTGGCCGAGGTGCTCTCCATCTGCGCGATGCTGCAGATCGGCGCCTCCATCTTCTACCGGCCGAAGGAGCGCGCGATGCACGCCGACAACGCGCGCAACAACTTCAACCGGCCGGGCGGCGACCACTTCACGCTGCTCAACGTGTGGAACCAGTGGGCCGAGACGCAGTACTCGACGCAGTGGTGCTTTGAGAACTTCATCCAGGTGCGCTCGATGCGCAAGGCGCGCGACATCCGCGAGCAGGTCGAGGCGCTCTGCGAGCGGGTCGAGCTCGAGGTGACGTCCGACCCGCAGGCGACGGACGGGGTCGCGAAGGCGGTCACGGCGGGCTACTTTTACCACACGGCGCAGCTGCAAAAGACGCTCGACTACCGGACCGTCAAGCACCCGCAGACGGTCCACGTCCACCCGTCCTCGACGCTGCACGGCTCGCAGCCACGGTGGGTAGTCTACCACGAGCTCGTCTTCACCACCAAGGAGTTTATGCGGCAGATCATCGAGATCAAGCCCGACTGGCTCGTCGAGATCGCGCCGCACTTTTACCAGCGGAAGGACATCGAGGACGACGCGGGCAAAAAGATGCCCAAAACCGCGGGCAAGGCGGCCGCGGCGGGCGGCAGGGGGAAGGCGTCGGTGACATGACGCCGCGAGGGCGCCGGCGGGGGCCGCGCCCAAATAAATCACGTACAGTACACGCCCGACCGTGTCCGTGATCTCCGTGAGAACCGTGTCCCTCTCGAGCGCGGGCCGCGGGGGGGGAAATGTCGATCTCCGAGACTTTGCACACATACGTATCGTGATAGAAAAGACGCAAATGTTTTGGCGTGTGTGGTTCCCTCTTCAAGGAGCGCCTAGGCCCTGCGCGACGTCGCCGGCGTGACTCAGCCAGCGCTCGAGGCTCTCCAGCTGCCGCTCGCGCACCCACTCGCCGCACTCCCTCGGCGTCGCAAGGCGATGAGGCTGCGACGAACCGGCCGGCTCCGACTTCTCGGCCACCGCCGCGGCTCGTCGGGCGCGCCGCGTTGGCCGACGGGGCCGCGAGGTGAGCAGAGGCGGTGCAAGCGCCTGGAGGTCAGCGCCTCGCCCCTCTCCCTCCTCTCGCGTGGACATCTCCCGCAATGAGTGCGGGCGGCGCCTCTTCCGCTGCCGCCTCGCCATCCTCTCCGACGGCGGCAGCGAAGCGCAGCAAGGACGAGCGCTGCCGAGCGTCGAGCCGCACCTACTCTCACCGGCCGCCCCCCTGCACACTCCACGCAGGCAGGGCGCGGCGCGCAGCGCGGCGGTGCGATCCTATCTCCTCGGCTCGGCTCAGGCGCGGAGGAAGGGAGGGGGCGGGTGTGCTGCAGCACACGTCTGTCAGCAGCGCCTGCTCGCACGTCGCGACATGAGAAGCGCACCGCGCCACTCCTCGCCGCCCTGGGAGGCCCTCTCGTCGCACCTCAGCAGTCGGGTCGCCGCTGTTCGCGACGCCGCCTTCGCGGGTGCGGATCGCTCGCCGCAGCCTCTCGGCGAGGAGCACTCTCTGCCACGTCCGCTCGGCGAAGGGCGCGGCGCCGGACTTGCGAGCGTGCTTCCTGCGCCGCCGCTCGTGCCAGCGCGAGGCGCGCTGCGCTATGGCGAAGCGGCCTACAGGTGGGCAGCGGGTCTGGCGGAGGCGGCTGTCTAGCTCTGCGCCGCAGAAGGACAGGGCTACGGAGGGCGTGCTCCCCCTCGAGGGCCTCGCCGCCACTTGCCTCCTCCTGCGCGCACTCCGCTGCCTCCCGCCCATGGCGCAGCATCGCCACGAACTTCCGCGTCCCGAGGAGCCTCAGCGCGCCTCGCCCTGCGCCAGACGAGGCGGCCGCGTGCTTGGCTCGGAAGATGAGCTCCCGGTCCGTGGTCACGACGCACACCCGCTCGCCACCCTTGAGCAGGAGCGGCACCTGTGCCGCGATCATGTCGTCCGCTGACTGTCGCGGCCCGGCAAAGCCGTGCTCAAGGCCGCGCGACGTGAGCGCGTCGGGCTTGCAGCCATGGTCCCAAACCAGGTGCACGCGGCCTCGAAGGCCATTCGAGTGAGCCCACGCCTCGGCAAGGTCCACCAGCGCCCCGGTGGTCAGCCGAAAGGCGGTCGCGCCCCGCACGTTGTTGGCGTCGACCAGGAGGCAGGTCGGCACCGCGGTGAGCTCTCGCACGGCAGACGCACACTGCGAGCCGGGCAGCGTCGGCCACGCAGTGCTGCAAGAGGCGGAGGCGGATGATAAATGGGCGCAGAGGACCGCAAAGACGACGCGGGTGGCAGAGCGCGAAGCCGGATCCGTGTACGGTCGGTACAGCATGCCGGCGCGGTGACAGCTTGCGCGAGAAGAGGCACTCGCCGTGGGCGGAGCCTCGAAAAGAGCCGACTCGAGAGGGCTAACCTCGGAATGTAACACCAGAATGCAACCCCTGCCTAGACGAGTACAGCTTGAGCACTTGAGCACTGGATAGGGCCGATTCCGCGTGGTACGGGACCCCTCGATCGTCTCGCCCTCCCTCACTGGTATGTTCATTGGGGGGGGTCATAACAAACACGGTACAGGATCGAGGTGCACGCTGCCGAAGCAGTGTCGTCCCCCCTCTCCCCGACGGCGATGGCGGTGTGACCGATCGAGCTACAAGAGGAACTTGTTCAGCAGGATCCGGGTGGGCGGAGCAGTACCTCACTTCCTCAGTGGGTGAGCCTCAGACCCCCAGCCCTCAAGCCCATCACCCCTCGGCCCGTGTGGGTTCGAACCACCGCCGGGATAGAAGCTTCCTGCTTCCATCTTGTTAATTGTCAAAATTCCTGTTGTGCAAGAGGGGAGGGGGCTCTGACGGAGTGCGTGGCGGGAGAGGGCAGGGAGTGGGCGCGGGGGAGGGGGGGGGGGGGCTCAGCCGTGCAAAAAGCATCAATTAATAATAGTAAGGAAGACATGTTGCCCGGCCGTTCAAGAAGTCCGTCTCGATTTTCGTTTCTTCCCCACAGACCACTCGGGCAACTTTTACGAAAGGCAAAGTTTTACTTGACCACTCGGGCAGATTCGATTGCATTTTACCACTCGGGCAAACTCGATGAAACGGGCGCACGGAAACGCGTTTGCGACGGCTCGCCGGAGAGCATGCATGGAGCGGCCGGTGCGCCGCCGCAGCTCACCGATGGAGCCTGCGTTGCGGCTCAATCCACTGACGTAGCAGCACTGCGACACACTCTCCAAGCACGGCCTCTGGCGTTGCGATTGCACAGAGAGCGAGCAATAGGCGCCAAAAGCACAGATCTGTGTGCAGTGGATTTCCATGTAGGTCGCGCCCAGCGAGCGGACAACCGCGGGTCTCGGATGCTCTCCCGGACGCGAGCCCACCGTGCGAGTGGCGGACCCGGAGGCGGCCGGCCCAGCTCACCCCCAGAGAGGCCATGGCCAGGGTCAGGCACAAAAGGGGGGTGTTTTTCCGTCCGTCCAGTGTGTTCAGCTAAAGAGTACCCGGGGCTCCCCGAGTGGGGGCCCGTGAACATCTTTAGCTTGTGAGCCAGGAAAAGGGTGGACCAGAATGGCTTGCTGGCTCCTTCACAGCCATCTTACCTAAGGATGGCTGAGCTAGCTACAGTGCAGCCACATCCTTCAGCCCGATGGCTGCAACACACACACGGCAGCCATCCTTAGTAGACATGGCTGGAGACGCACTACCGCAGCCACACCGCCCGCCTCGAGGTGAGCCCTCTTGGCTGACCTGGCTACATTGCAGCCATCTTGGGAAAGATGGCTGGGGGACAGCCATTTCAGCCATTTCAGCCATCTACTATGGCTGCGTCATAGAGATTGCAGCCATCCTCCAGAGCCATGGCTGGTGGTAATTCGATGGCAGCCGACGGCAAGCCGTCCCGCGAGGCCGGGGGGCGACAAGCGCGCAGCCATTTGTGCGTGTGGCGGGGGCGGCGGACGGCTGCCATCGAATTATCACCAGCCATGCTCCGGAGGATGGCTGCACTGACTGTGCCCCAGCCATATTAGATGGCTGAAATAGCTGTCCCCACAGCCATCTTACCCAAGATGGCTGCGATGTAGCCAGCTAAGCAGGCCTCTCAGTTCACGCCGGAATCGTGAACCGTGAACCGTGAACCAACTAGCCCCCGCCCCGAGTCCGTGAACCCCGAGCCGTGAATCGACTAGCCCCCACCCCGAGTCCGTGAACCGTGATCCGTGAACCGACTCCTCCCGCGACACCCGCCGCGAACCGTGAACCGTGAACGAACCGAGTCTGGCGAACCGGCGGTGAACCGCCGGTTCGCGAACTGGGTTCGCGAACTGGTTCGTGAACCGCCCCCACCAAGTTCGCGCGGCGGTTCGCGAACTGGGTTCGCGAGAACTGGTTCGTGAACCGCCCCACCAAGTTCGCGCGGTTATCAACTAATTCGAACCGCGAACGACTGCGAATCAAACTCGATGGAGGCCTACTTGCCGGGGCTCATAGCCCTTCTCCTTGCCGGGGCTCATAGCCCTTCTCGTGCTTGCGCATGTACTCCAATGTGAAGGCGCGGTTCATGCGGAGAATCACCACCATCGAGTACTCCTCCGCGTTGAAACTGAGGCGGTGACGCGGTGCACCACCTGCTTGGCGCAGAAAGACTCGGGCATGAGGGCGCCGAAAGACTCGCCATCGCCGGGAGGAAGCCAAACCGTGGCTGCTTCTCAAGGTCGCGTAAATCCGTCCCATGTCCAGGTGAAGCTGGTCGATGAGGTCTTCTTTAGGATCGAAGTCGTACTTGTCGTTCTCCTGTGAACAAGCGCGATATGAGTTCGAAAGTAAAATCCGTAAGTTATCGGCGTCGGAGGAGCGTGGGCGGCAACTGTATGTTAGGGCTGAGGGGCGACAGACGGCCGGCGGGCAGAGGCACAGGTAGCCCATCATCTCGTCTTTTCCTTCGAATTTCTGGGTCTCGGTTCATGGGTGATTCGCGAACTGTGGTTCGCGAACTGTGTCGGTGTGTACGAGGTGTGAAAGGAAGCTTGGTTCATGAACTAGTTCAGTGGTTTTCACCCTCGAACCGACCATGAACTCTGAACCGTGAACTCGAACCGAGGCAGGACATAAGGGCGAACCGCGAACCGTGAACGAACCAGGCGGGGCAGCGTCGGGCCGAACCGTGAACCGTGAACCGACTAGCACCCGCCCCGAGTCCGTGAACCGCGAACGTGAACTAACCGTGAACCGCGAACTGGTTCATGAACCGGGTTCACGGTTCACCTCGTGAACTGAGAGGGCTGCAGCTAAGCCAAGAGGGCTCACCTCGAGGCGGGCGGTATGGCTGCGGTAGTGCGTCTCCAGCCATGTCTACCAAGGAATGGCTGCCGTGTGTGTATTGCAGCCATTACACTGGAGGATGTGGCTGCACTGCAGCTAGCTCAGCCATCCTTAGGTAAGATGGCTGTGAAGGAGCCAGCCATCCTGGTGTTACATTCCGAGGTTAGCCGTCGCTGTCGTCTCCATGATCTGCTTCGCCGCGTCGGCTGTTGTTGTGTCTTCGCCCCTGGTCGCCACCAGCGCGGCTGCAGCGCCATCTCTCGCCGCGAGAGGACCTCGAGCGACCATCGCTAGAAACGCTGCAAAGGACGGCGACAGCGTGCTCCTCCTGAGGCTGCTGCAGTCTGGATGGCGGCCAGGCGCGGACCGCGATCGCCGAGGCGCCACTGCCCTGCACCTCTCGGCGGGGCATGGCCACGACTCTTGCTGTGAAGCGCTGCTGCCTTTGCTCGACGTCAACGATCACACTCGGGAGGGCGCCACGCCGCTCCACTTCGCGGTCGCAGGGATGAAGTCGCGGCGTGGGCGCGGCGGTCAGAACGGCTTCGGGACAGGCGGCCACGTTAGCACCGCGAGGCTGCTCCTCGACCGAGGAGCCGACCCAGCTGCTGTCACCTCCGACGGCAACTCGGTCGTCCACTGGGCGGTGCGCGCTTCTCGCCGCTCGTGTTTTGCGTGCGAGACGTGAGTGGACCGTGACTTGTGCAGGCGTGGGCGGGCGGGACGAAATTGCTCCGGCTGCTCTGCGAAGAGCACGGGCAGGCGGCAGCGGCGGGAGCGCCAAACGTGAGGGGATGCACAGCGGCCCACTGGGCACGCCGCCGCGCCTCGATCCTCCGCCAGCAGCCGGGCGGGCACGCTGCTTGAGGCAGTCCTGAACCGCCGTCAGGCGGCCTCGAGCGGTGCTCTCTCCTCGTGCAAGTACCTCGCCGAGAGCTGCGGGCTTGACTTTGGCGCTCCCAACGCCGAGGGCGCGACGCCACTCACAAAGGCGGTCGTCCAGTCCCGCCCGCCGGTGCGGGCGCAGGCTCTGCCACCTCGCTGCGCCGCCCGCCTACCGACGCGGCTCGACTTCGCTGCAGGTGGTGGAGTGGCTGATCGCCTCGCCGCACTGCTCGCTCGCTGACCTCCGCGAGGCTGCCGCACTGGCGAGCCGCCTCGAGAAGCGCCGCACCACCGCCGACGCGGCGCGCGTCGCCGCGTTGCTGCGCGCGTCGTCTTCACTGCGGTTGCGGGGTGGCTTTGCCCGCTGCATCGCTCCCCGTCCGTCGCTTCAGGCCGCGGCCCCGCCACGCGCCTCTCCTCGTGCCGTGTTGCCCGACGCGCCTGAGGAGGACGATGGCGTCAGTGCGCCGCCGCCCAGCGAGGGCGACGACCTCGGTGATTTTGGCCTCCGTCGCGGCTTGGGCGTGGCGGTCGACGCGGTCCTGCCAACGAGGCTCGTGCGCTATTGCTAGACGTCCTTCTCACGCCCTTGCGGTGCGGACAGGTGATCGTCGCGTGGAGCGTCGTCATCAACGTGTTTGGCGTTGCGTTTGGGTTTGTGCCGCCCACCGTGTTCTCCCAGTTTTGTGGGTTGATGAGGCTGAGCATGTGATAGGCTCGGATTGCTTCTGAACATCTCGGGCTACGGCTACCGCGTTCGATTCGACCCGCCCTCGCTCGAGATTTCATCGCTCGCCAGGATGCGACAGTCAAATCTCGAGGCAAGATACTTTGCCCCGGGAGGCGCATTCGAGGAGCTCACAGAGCCCTAGCGCGCCCCTAAGTCTTCTTGGTTGTTTGCCCTCTTTGGTGGTGGAGCCGCGAGAGGGACTGTGGGTGTGGCTAGCGAGAGTGACACTCGAAACTAGGGATCCCTACGTCAAACTCAAAGGAATGAGAGCTGCCACATACGAGACAGTGCTCAGTGGTGGGACAGAGTAAACACGTATACCAGGAAGAGAAAAGCAGTTCAACCAAAGCCGGCCCCCGACTGCTGAACAGTCGCGCCCCTTGTTGGTTGTTCTCTCCGCTCTCGCGTACGCGCGATGGAAGTTGGAAGTGTGTTCGACACCCCGATATCCCCGTGTGTGTACGGAGTACAGGGAGATACACTGGGCGGCGGCGGCGGTCCATCTTCGGTCCCCACGCGAAGCCCCGGGCATAGGGGACAACAAAAGTCAACGTCTGTCTGTCCCACAAACGCACACAGACGCACACATACACATACATGGCTCGGGTACCCCCCAACAGTGTAGTTAGTGGAGAGAGAGAGAGAGAGAGAGAGAGAGAGAGAGAGAGAGAGAGAGAGAGAGAGTCAGGGGATGTTAGTCACTACAAGAAACAGGCTCGTGGCAGGTGCCTGCCAAGCGGCCGTGGGCTCTGGCGCGGAGAGGTGCTGCAGTGAGAAGAAATGGTAAACTTATCATGAGATTAGCAGCAAAAACAGCAAAGCACTAAGGAAACTGCGCCGCGATGTGCGGCGGGCACACCGGCCACGGGCCAAACACATCATACCTAGGTCCCTTCATACGCTCCTGGAGCCCAACCATGTGCGCCGCGATCTTCATGACCGCGGCAAGCAGGGTGAACGAGCCACGCCACGTAGTGCACAGAGCCATACGGTTGTCCACTACCTGGCCAATGAGGTGCTCCACACGCCCACGGTAGTGCTGCACCGTCTTGTTGAACCGTTGTTTCTCGAGGGACAGGCTCCGGCCCTTCCATTCTGTGATGATCTGCCGCTGCCCGACGTAAGCCTTGTCCCCAAGACCATACTCCCATGGCTTGATCCGCGCCTGCAGGAAGCTGGCCCAAGCGCCGCGCCCCCGCCGGTCGAATTTTAGCATCTAGGCCGTTGGGACAGCTCGGGACGGCTTTTTAGCAATACCAAACAACTCTAACGCTCACACGTCATTTGGGGCCTGGAGCCCTGTTCACGCGCGCGCGAGACGTGCAGACAGGGTTGCCAGGTGAGAGCGAATGGCGCGGTTCACGCCTCGCACTGGTCGCACAACAGAGAGAGAGATGCGCTCTGCATGGTGGGACATAAAAGAGAGCGAGTACTTGGGCGAGTAGGCTGTGCGGTCAACGCTGCCGCGCGCGACTTTGCGCGCGAGGCGGCGCAGCAGAAGTGAAATCCAAAAAATAAAATAAACGCCACACGGCGCCTCAATTGCGGGAGTCTGAGGCGAGAAGGATGTCATACATCCCAGACCCGCCCAACCCGCCGCCTCCCTACCCGCCCCACCCGCCGCCGACCATACCATCGCCCCCCGACCCACCCCACCCGCCGCACCCTCCTCCGTCGCCGCCGCCAACTCCGCCGCCGCCGCTGCTGCCGCCATTGCCAATGCCGCCCCCGAGCTTCCCGCCAAGATCCCCGCCGCTGCCGCCGAGCGAGCCGCCTCCGCCTCTGCCGCCGGCGTCGCCACCGTCTCCGCCTCTGCCGCCTTCAACGCCGCCCTCACCGCCGCCGTCCTCTCCTCCTCCGAGCCCGCCGCCAGACGCTCTGCATCGGTACCGCGCAGGAATCGCAGCAATGCCTGGGCCGGCGGCGGCGGCCGTGTCTGCGTGCGGACCCGCGTCGGACTTCGGCCGCTACTACGCTCCGCTGTGCGCGTGCGGCCTCCTCTCCTCGGACGGGGTCGGCTGCTGCGCAGAGAGCTGCGGCGTCTGCGATGCGAGCATGGACTGCCGCCGCCGCCGCGGCGGGAGGGAAATGTGCTGCGAGTTCGCGCTCAAGACGCGCCGGGCACCGTGTCGCACGCCGGGCGAGGTCGGCTGCATCGTCGTCAGCTCTCCGCCTTTGCCGCCGCCGCCGCCGCTGCCGCCAAGCCCGCCGTCGCCCGAGCCATCCCCGCCGCCCCCGCCGGCCCCGCTAACGCCCGAGCCCTTCCCACCGCCGGCGCCCCCGCCGGGCCTGCCGCCGCCGCCGGCGCCTCTACCTCCAGATCCCTCCCCGCCGCCGCCGCCCACTCCACCCTTTCCGCCCCCTGCCCCTCCGCCGCCGCCTTCGAGTCCACCGCAACCGCCCTCCCCCCCTCCGCTGCCGCCGCCGCCGCCGCCGTCCCCGCCGCCGCCGCCGCCCCCCCCTTCCCTGCTTAGCGTGCTCGGCAGCAGCGAAGGCCGCCTGATGTTCTTCGCGGTGGGCTCCGTCACCTTCGGCGGCTGCGCTCTCCTCGGCCTGGCCTGCGTGCTCCTCTCTCGCTCGCTGGCGGGGCCGCGGCAGCACTCCCGCCTCCTCGGAGAGGACCATCTCGGAGAGGGCCATCTCGGAGAGGACGGGCCAGGAGGCGGTGCAGGCGGGGGGGAGGGCGGCGGCGGCGGCGGCCCGCCCTTGAACGAGCCCGGCCTCCGAAGGGCCGCAGCCTCTAGGGCAGGGGCAGCAGTCTCGAGCGAGCCCGGGCGGAGGGAGGCCATCGAGGAGGTCACAGAAGTGGCCACAGAGCCTCGGTCAGAGCTGCCCTCGCGGCTCACAGAGCCGCCCTCGCGGCTCCTCACCGCAGTGCTCACGCAGTGCGCTCGCCCTCTCTCTCTGGTCTCTGCTCCCCTCGCCGCAGAGCGCAACACCTGGAGCAGCCGCACACTCTCGCTTCCTCCACTCGCCCTCCCCCTCTCTCTTCCCCGCACGCAAACGCGTTAACTAGTCAGGCATGGAAACACGCGCCCGTCTGGTGTGCGCCTCCCCGCCCCCACAGGCAAGCACTCGCAAGGAGCTGCAGCTGAAGAGCGTGGCCGAGCGTGCACGCGTCTTTGAGACGTAAGAAGGACACCGGGCCGTCGACGCATCTCGGGGGCGCATCGCGGGCGTTCCAGGGCGGGCGGGTTCCGTCGCTCTCTCACTGTCTCACACCCCGATACACCTCAGCGTGCCACGGCGATCATAGTGGAAGAGAGACCAAGTGATCACAGAGGGTGCGGAGGCAGTGCCGATGTCGAGAGATATCGACACCCCCATCTACCAGATGATATGCGCATCATAGATGCCAAACGCCATCTAGGATGCGTTTTCCATCTAAGCACTAAGGACACCGGGTGTCTCCACTATGATTGGGGTCTCCAAGAAGATTTAATCAAAATCATCTTTAGATGGTGCATCGCGTCTTTTGATTTGATACTTTAGGTTTAGCCCGTGACATCTCAAGATACCCTCAACCCCCTGCAGATGCACGAGTGTCGTCTTCAGACGCACAAGTGTGCCGAGATGATACCCTCATCTTGGGTTAGTCCATGCATCCCAGGATGCAATGTGGCATCTGAGGATGCGCAATGCATCTCAGAAACATGAGCGCGTTGTCGGATTTTTTCCAATATTTTCGATCGACAGTTGCAGTTGGGGGATGGGCGACGTGGCATAGTGGGAAATGATATACCGTCGCCAACTGCAACAGTGGTCAGTGTCGGAGTTTTTTTGCCGAACCCGAAGAAATAAAAACCAGTCTTACATATAGAACCGCAACCGTCCATGTAGTAAAGTCAGCATTAGCACAAGGGCTAAGTGCCCCCCCACCATCACTCACTGGCTCCCAGTTCCATCACCATCAGTAGTATTCCACAGACGACAGAGCAGTGGTAGTCACATCTCACTTAGCATTAGCAACTGAAATCCACTCCAACTTTGATCCAAGGGCTCACATGCCGCTCGGAAGTCCTTATGATTTAAGTTGCATTTTAATCATTAAATGCCAAGCATCTTGGGATGCGAAGCATCTTCAGATGGTTCGAGCATCCCAGTACCCAGAGGATGCTCCCCCCGCGGCCGCGCCCGGCATCTTAGTTGAAAAAACCATCTAGAGATGCTCGAGCATAGGCGAGACAGTGTGCAGTCCAAGTAGGCTGTAGGGCGCATCTTAGATGCATATTATCTCAAGATGCGCATATATCACCTGTAAGATGGGGGGGGTCGCGGTCGCCGCCCCTGACGGAGCCCCCACGCCAGCTCCCCCCTCCCCGCCTCTAATTTAGGCCTAATAGAGTCTCTATATCTGCAGACTTCTCACTGTGCGTGGTCAAGGGCTTCTCCTCTCTGTGACTTCTCTTACTCTATAAAACACCTTTTGGCCGGGCTGACGTTGTCGCGATGGACAAAATAGAGCCGTGTACGTGGCACGATGCCGAGAGCCGCGGGCCGCGGAGCGCGGAGTCGGGAGTGCGCGAGTCGCGGAGACCGAAAAACCGAGGAGACAGGAGTAAACACACACAGGGATGCATCGTGTGGTCGCCACACGCGTGGGGCAGCGCCGCTCTCTCCGGCGCCACAGCGTCCCTGGGGAGGGATCTTGCCGTGGCGCCATCATGTCAGCGGGCGCGCAAGGCGTGGCTGAGGCGTGGCGAGGCGTGGAGCAGCCGAGCGGCCGACAGCGGCTGAGCTGAGGGAGCCGGTGCGGCACGCCGCTGGGAGGCTACGCGCGGGGGGCGGGCGGGAGGGCGGGACGTCGATAGGAGCGGCCGCACGCCGCGCCCGAGCCGCGCGCAGCCTACGAGCCTCAGCCGCCGGCGCCGCACGAGGCGCCGGCGCCGACCGTCACGATGCGAGCTTTCCGCCGCCTGTCGCCCGGCTTGCCTCCTCCGCCCCCGCCCTTCGCGCCGGCCGCCCTGGCCGCCTTTGCGTCGGCGGCCCTGCCCTTCTCCTTGAGGAGGGTGGGCACCGCCTCGTCGGGCTTGAGGTTGTCGTTGAGCAAGTAGTGCACGTACCCGACAAACAGCCCGGCGATGTCGACCCATGGCACCTGCGGGCAGGCCGCCGGGCGGGTCCTGGAGGGCTCCTGCGGGGTTTGCGACGCCGGCCCGCGGCGCCTGCTGCGTGAAGAGGTACGACATGGCCAGCTGGGCGAGGGGCAGGTACTGGTACGGGATCGCCATCCCGTACATCGAGACCGAGCGCGCCGGGTTCTGAGGCGGCGGCGGCGGGGCGGCGGGGCGGCGGGAGCGGTCGGGGCGAGGCCACGGGCTGGCGGGCGGCGAGGGCGGGGCGGCGAGGGCGGGGCGGCGAGGGCGTGGCGGCGAGGGCGAGGGGCAGGCCTCGCCTGCAAGCAAGCGAGGAGCGTGACGGCCATGATGAGGCCGTCGGCCGAATGCGGCCAGCCGAGCACCTGCGTCCCGACCATGGGCTTGCGTGCGCGGCGGCGACGGCGCGGGAAGCGGGTGATGCGATGAGAAGGCAAGTGGCAGGCAGCGGCGGCGGCGGCGGTTGCGACGGCGGCGGCGGCGCACGTGGCAGACGAGGGTGAGCGAGGCCACGACAGAGAGGGAGGCCCGCAGGAACTCGGGCGTGCCCAGCTCGCGCTCCAGCTCCCGGCCAAACGAGATGCCGTAGTACAGCTTCTGTAGCAGCTGCGGCCCGACGCCGCCGACAAAGGCCGCCGCTGTCAGCGGCCGCCAGAGCTGAAGCCGGCCGGAGAAGGCGGCGGCGTCGACCGTCAGCGCCTCCTCCGAGACCAGGCCGGCCTGCGAGAGGGCGGCAAGCCCGAGCACCGCGCTGAGCCAGCTGCGCGTCGCGATAGGCACCCCGAGGTAGGCGCGCTGCAGCCCGGCGACAGGCCCGTCGTCGCCGCCGCGCAGCCGGCGGACGGAGTCGGCGGAGGAGCGCGGGAGCGGTCGCAGCGCGGGGCTCGTCGGTCGGCGAGGCGGCGTGAGCGAGGGCGAGGCGCAGGCAGGCGCCACGAGGGCAAGCAGAACGGCAGATCGCATTCCGACCGCACTTTTCTTTTCCCGCCTGAGCACAAAGAGATTGGAAGACAGAAAGACGCCCTTTTTCTTTTGCCCGCGCCGCCTAGCTCTGCGGACGGGGCCCCCTCCACCCCTCACGTACGGGTCATGTATAGTCCCCACAATCGCTGTCGTGGGAGGTTAGGTTAGGTAGAAAGGTGAAGAACAGCCAGGCTCGGACTGGACACCAACGCGGTATGGGTGGACGCTGGACAGATGATGACGGCACGCACGAGCGACACACAGACACAAACAGGCTCACAAGACACACAGCCAGCTGGCTGCCACACACCCTGAGTTGGCGTACACATAACTCAAGGCCACATCCTCCCTGTCGCCCCCCCCAGCACACACAGTGCCAAGAGAACAAACAAGGGCACAACAACACAACAGACGACAGGAAGTAAGTAACATGTGAGGCTAGAGCACACCGCTCCGCCTCTAGCAATCTCGCCGGCCGGCGAGGCACGGTCGAGACCGTGTGTGGGGTCAGGTGTCTATGGACGCTCTCTTCACGGGCTAGCGGCCTACTGGCAGCCCTAACTCGCCCTCACGGGCAGTGACAATTCAATGGGTGAGTGTTTGCGAGCAGAGGCGCGTGGGCTAAATCTAGGCCGCACGTCGTGGCACTATGACGAAGTTAGACGTGCGGCCGCAGCGCGCCCGCCCCAGGCTCGACGGGGCGCGCGTGTTAGCGAGAAAGTTGCGGGTAGAGCCATGCCCGACTTTTCGAAGGCGAGGCCTCTGCGACGAGTGCCAGCCGCGCTGCGGAGCCACGCCCTTCGAGCCGCGTCCCGTCGGCACTGTCCCTGAGTGTGTCCCGCCTTGGTGGCACACACTTTCGACGAGGACAGTCCTGCCTACGGGAACGTGTCGCGTGCCGGCGACCATTGCGGCGGGGTGGTTGCGCGTACGAAGCGACGATGGCACGACCACCGCCCTGCATCACAGACCGGGCAAGGAGGGGCCTTCTCGTGTTCCGCGGGGAACAGGAGGCCTCCCCCCCTCCCCCGTCCTGAGCAACTACGGGTGGAAGGCAGCCCCTTGAGTCGAGGGCTGCGCGACCATTGCCCCGCATCAAAGACCAGAGGCTCCGTCAGTACAGATGGTCGCGCCGCCCCGCCGCGCCGCCCGCCGCCGCGCCGCGCCGCCGCCCGATGATTATTAATTCATTATTAATTAATAAATAAGTAATTATACCACCCGCCGCCGCGCCGCCCCGCCCTGCGTCGCCCGCTGCCTCGCCGCGCAGCCGCCTCGCGCCGCCCGCCGCCGCGCCGCGCCGCCGCCCGATGATTAATAATTAATAAGTATTACCCGATGATTAATGTGTGTGTGTTTGCGTGTGTGTGCGTTTGTTTGCGCGATGGCAGGGAAGGGCAGGGCAGCCGCGAGCGGCAAGTGGCGTCGGCGACGCGGCGAGGACACGATGGTGACGCCCACCGCGCAGCGTGCGCGGCAGCAGCGACGCCGGCGGCCCCACGCCGCATCAGCGGCGCCCTGAGTGAGTCAGGCTGCGCTGCACAGCCTGCTGAGCACGCTCCCGACGAGCGGCGCGCCACGCTGGCCCGCCGCAGGCGACGCGGGCGCGAGCCGATGCGCGTGTCGTAGGCGTAGGCAGCGCTGGCGAAGCGAGGCGGCCGGCGCCGGCCCCCGGAAGCGGTTGCAGCGAGAGAAGCGAGTCAAAAGACACTGTTGAAAGTGTGGGGAGCAGCCTGCCGTCGAGCACAGCGCGCCGCGCAAGCCCGCTGCTGGCGACCCGATCGAGAGCTCGTAGTCATGGTACTATTCAGCGCGCCATCGCGCACGAGGCGGCCCGCCCTGGCCCTGTAGACTTGCCCAGAGAGCTTGGCGAGGCTGTACAGAGTGCCGAGAGCATGCTGGGCAGGCTCCCGTCGAGCGACGAGCCATGCTGGCTCGTCGCGGTCTGCGAGCTCGAAGACCCGCGCAGAGCGTCGCCGAGCCTGGCGTGCCCGCCCGCAACCTAGTACCTAAGGTTTTTACACACACACACACACACACACACACACACACAGAGAGAGAGAGAGAGGGAGGGGGGGGGGAGGGAGGGAGGGGGGGGGAGAGAGAGAGAGAGAGAGAGAGAGAGAGAGAAAGTAAAAAAGAAAATCGACGCGTTTGCGATGGTGAGAGAGCGGCCCCCAGACACCTTTGCCAGCCCACGCCCGCGACTCCCCCCCTCCCGTTGGCCCCCCACCCCCTCCCCGCCTCAACCGCAGGCGACTCCGGTGGCGGCCGTCGCGGCCCAGCTCGAAAAGTTCAAGGCCGCGTTTGCGCGCGAGGACCTCGAGGCGTGCGTCAAGCTTCTCGCGGAGCTGAAGATGGGCATGCTCTCCTTCGGCTCGCTGCCGCCCGCGGCGCCGTCGGCGCCGTCCTCCTCGCAGCAGCAGGAGCTCCTCCTCGCCCGCGAGATCCTCGAGTACGGCACGCTCGTCTCCATCAAGACGGTCGACATCCCCGCCTTTGAGAGGCACATCGCGCAGGTGCGGCGTTGGCCCGGGCGGCGCGCGCCGCCCCCCAGCCCTCCCCCAGCCGGCCGCGCCTCGGCCGCTGGGGCGGGGGGCTCCGGCCGCCGCATCCCGGCTCCGTGCGCGCTCGCGACCGTCGGCCGACCCCTGCCCGCCCGCGCCGCAGCTCAAGGTGTACTATGCGGACTGCGGCTCGCTGCCGGCGTCAGAGCGGCAGTACCCGATCCTCGGGCTGAACCTGCTGCGGCTGCTCGCGCAGAACCGAATCGCGGAGTTCCACACCGAGCTCGAGCTCCTGCCGGTCGAGCTGCAGCTGAGCAACGAGTTCATCAAGTTTCCGGCGCAGCTCGAGCAGCACATCATGGAGGGGTCGTACAACCGCGTGCTCTCGGCGAAGCAGTCGGGCGCGTACGCCAAGGAGGGGCTCTACTTCATGGACCTGCTCGTCGACACCGTCCGCGACGAGATCGCCGAGTGCTCCGAGAAGGCGTACCACTCCGTCTCTGCGGCCGAGCTGCAGACGATGCTCATGATCAGCTCCGAGCAGGCGCGCGCGCACGCACCACCGCCTCCTGCCCTCCTGCCCTCCCGCCGCCGCCCTCGCCCCCTCACCGCCCCTCCTCCCGGGCAGGAGCTGCGCGAGTTTGCCGACCAGCGCGACTGGCGCGTCGCCAACGGCCTCGTCACGTTCGGCGGCCAGGACGACAAGCCGCTCGCGCTTCCCGCCTCGCAGCTCATCCACGAGTCGCTCGCCTACGCAAAGGAGCTCGAGCGCATCGTCTGAGCGCGCGGGGAGGCCGCGCGGGGCGCTCGAGGCCGCCGCGACCGGGAAGGTTGAGTTGGGAGGCTGGCTTGCGCCAGAGGCAGAGCAGGGAACGACCCCGCGACCCCGCGCAGCACGCGGCTACGCTGTGGTGTCCCTCGCACAGACCCCTGAGGGGTTCGGCCCACGCCACCTCGCTGGGGACGTCAGCCCCACAGCACCTCAGCAGTCAGCACAGCGCGACCGCGAGCCCTGGTCCCAATGCGCTGGCACGGCGGCAGGCTTTTGAGTGTATGCACAGGGCTCACAGGGGCTGAGCCGTGTGAAGGGTGGAGGCAAGCTGCCTCGGTCGAACTCCTAGCCGGATAAGGCGTCTGTACCTACTGATTGATTGATGGGAAGGCGAAACCTACTACGAGATGGGGGCCCCTCTCTGCAGTTTGCCAAATCCCTGTCGGAAACGCCATCTCCACGTCCATCGTCAACATCGCCATTGGCATTGCGATCGTAGCCTGCCAATGCTCTCGCTCCTCGTCGCCGCAACCAGCTTCTCCCCTGTCGGCAGCGGGCCGGCACGTGGCTTAACGCACTCCATCGGCAGCGGGCCGGCACGTCAGCGCCCGGCGGTGCTGTCCGCCGCCAACTGCGAGACGGAGCTCCCGGCCGGGCAGCGCCACTTTCTGCACGTCGACGACCTGAGCACCGCCGAGGTGCGCGAGGTGCTCGACCTCGCAAAGCGGATCAAGGCGACGCTCGCCGCCGGCGGACCGGGCTACCGGCCGTTTGCGGACCAGACCCTCGCAATGGTCTTCACCAAGCCGAGCTGCCGCACTCGCGTCTCCTTTGAGTCGGGCTTCCGGCGGCTCGGCGGCCATGCGCTCTGCCTCGGCGAGGAGGTCGGGATCGGGACGCGCGAGGCGACCAAGGACGTGGCGCGGGTGCTGGCGTCGATGAACGAGCTGCTCATGGCGCGCCTCTACGCACACGCCGACATGCTCGAGCTCGCCCAGTTCTCAAAGGTTCCCGTCGTCAACGGGCTGACGGACTACAACCACCCGTGCCAGATCGTCGCCGACGCGCTCACGATCGAGGAGGTCGTGCCGGACGGCTCCATCGAGGGGAAGAAGGTGGTGTACGTCGGAGACGGCAACAACATCGTCCACTCCTGGCTCGAGCTCGCCTGCGTCGTCCCCTTCGACTTCGTGTGCGCCTGCCCGAGCGGCTTCGAGCCGGACGCGGAGCTGGTCGAGCGGGTGGCGAAGAGCGGCGTCGGCAGCGCGCGGGTCGTTGTGGACGACCCGACGGGCGCCGTCTCTGGCGCCGACGTCATCTACGCCGACGTGTGGGCCTCGATGGGCCAAAAGGAGGAGGCGGCGACGCGCGAGGCGGTCTTTGCCCCGTACCAGGCGGGAGGCCCTCCCGAGTCACACCTGCTAGACACCCCCGAGACACCTCGTCGACACCTCGTAGACACCTCCGAGACACCTCCGCGACGCTGTCGCCGGGTCTGCGCCGCAGGTCAACGAGGCGCTCCTCGCGGCGACCGGCAGGGACGACACCCTCTTCCTGCACTGCCTGCCCGCGGAGCGCGGCCGCGAGGTCTCCGACGGCGTGATGGAGTCGGCGCAGTCGCACGTCTTTCGCCAGGCGGAGAACCGCATGCACGCGCAGAATGCGATCATGGTCTTCTGCGCTGGCGCCGCCCGGCCGGCTGCCTAGAGGCGCGGCTGCGGCAGGATGCGGCTGCAGCGGGAGAGGTACGTGCGTGCGCCGGCTTGGCGAGGGCGCCGAGGCTGTGCAGCGCGTCAGCCGTCAGGGGGAGAGAGGGAGAGAGGGCTGAGCGTGAGGGATGCGCGTGGAGCGCCGGAGGCGGCAGATAGACACACCCAGAGCTAGAGTCCAGAGAGCGCGTGTGTTTCGAAGAAGTGTCTGCTGATCGTTTACGTCTATCGATCATTCCTCGTGGTTACAAATTCACGCTACTCGAACCGGCGCGAGCCGCACGTCCGCGACGACATGGTTGAGGCGCGGCGCGTAAGACTTGACTCGCTCGAGGTGGAGGAGCCTCGCCGCCCAGCCTCTCCGCCCCATCCCCGCCGCGAGCGCCTCGAGCCTCGCGAGAAGCGCCCGACCCCACGCGTCCTCCTCGCTCGCGCCCGCGCCAACGCAGGCGTGCACGTGCAGCGTGCCGCCCTCCGGCAGCAGCACCGCCACCGCCACAGGCCAGCCCGCCTCGGAGCTGGGGATGAGGCCGAGGTTGACCCGGTGGGCCACGCCCGCCAGCGTGGCGGCCGCCTGCACGTTGTCGCCCGCATGCACCGTGCACCGCCTCTCGACGCCGTTCGCCGCGACGTTGCGCGAGAGGGCGGCGAGAGCATCCTCGTCCCACTCGCAAGCGTGCACGTGCGCCGCGCCGGCATGGACGAGGTACGGGAGGGTGAAGTAGCCGATGCCGGCGTACAAGTCAACCACCTGCCGAGAGGGCGGCTGGCTCGGCGCACCCGGCGAAAGAAGATCACGCTCGGCGCCGCTGGCGACACCGTCTCGCCGGCGCACGGGAAGCTGCCCACGCGCGCCTTCTCGGTGCCGTTGCCGGAGCTGAACATCGAGCGACACACGTCGAGCCTGCACACCGAGGAGGCGCGCCGACTCGGGCCCGGCGGAGGAGGGAGGAGGAGGGCGCAGGAGGGGCAGGAGGGCGGAGGAGGGCGGAGGAGGCGGAGGAGGAGGGCGGAGGAGGGCGGAGGAGGCAGAGGAGGGAAGAGGAGGAGGCGGAATAGTGGGCGACTCGCCCGTACAGGACGCCATTCTCCTTGAAACTCACCCAGCCGCCGGCACCCGGCGGCCACACCAGGCGCGCGCCGCTCTTGCGGTGCAGCGCCTCCTCCACCTGCCCGATCCTGCCCTGCACACCCAGCCTCGCCGCACCAGCCTCCGCTGCGAGCGCGGCAAGGAGAGACTCTCTCGCGGCGGGAGCGAGCGCCGCCAGAGCCTCTGCCGCCCCCGACCCGGGCTCAAACATCCCTCTTGGGGCAAAGAGGGCAACGTCGCCGAGCTTCTCCCACTTCGAGGGCAGCGACTGCACGGGGAAGAGGCGCGCTGCGTCCGCACGCGGCAGCCCAGATGACTCCAGGGCGGCGACGCAGCGCCCGTGCATGCGCTGCCGCTTGTCGCTTGTGCGCCTGTCGGTGGTGGGCGGCGGCAGGAAAGCCAACGATAGCTCGCCGTGCTGCACCGCGTATGCCTCGCCAGCAGCCGTGAGTGGAAGTGCCACCGCGCCACTCTCAGCGCGGAATGCCCGCCGCCCGGTGTCCAAGTAGCCACAGTCGTCCAGCCGCCGGCGAAGCGCCTCAGCCGCCTGCGGATCGACGAGCGCGCATGCACATCCGGACGTCGTTGGTGGCATTATCTGGGCACGGCAAGGCGCCAGCATGACTCGTCGCAAAAACAAACTGCGCTGCAAGTGCTCCAAGTGCTCAGCCCACAGAATGCGCAGCTAGTTCCCTATACCACGGTGGTCAAGCACAACCCGCTCGCTCGGGCCTCCTCGTCGGGCTCGTGGGGCCAGCGCCCCCCTCACGGGCGCGCTAGCCACCCCGGCCGGCGCACTCCTTGTCGCCCCCAAAGCCAAAGAGCTTCGCGGCGGTGCCGCCCATCAGCGCGGCGCGCGCCGCGTCGTCGAGGCCGGGCACCGAGGACCACTGCGCCGGCACGGCCGCCGCTTGGGCGTACGTGAGGGCGGCGGGCGTGCTGCTCACGCCCTCGGGAAGCGGGAAGCCGCCCGGCAGCACGAACGGGTAGTCGGAGCCCCACATGAGGCGCGAGGATCCGTAGGAATTGAGCAGCTGCCTGACGCGCGGCTGCAGGTCGACGAAGGGCGGCGCCTCGCCCGACGCGCGGAAGAGCGCCGACACCTTGACGAAGACCTGCGGGTAGGCGGCCAGGTCGAGGAGACCTTGCCAGCTGGCCTCGTCGTTGGCGGCAGCGTCGCCGAGCTGCCCACCGCTCGCGGGCTGCCGGAAGAAGCCCATGTGGTCCACGACCAGCGTCGTCGACGGGAACTCGCTGCACAGCCGCTTCAGGTCGGGCACGAAGCCCGCGAGGCCCTTGAAGGCCATCACGCCGACGGGCATGCCGAGCTCGCCGGCGCGCTGGTAGAGCGCCCTGCCGACATCTGAGCAGAGGCCGCCCTCGAAGGCGCCGGCATTGAACCGCACGCCCACGAAGCCGGCCGTGTGCAGCGCCTCGAGCGCGGCGATCGCCTCCTCTGGCGGCAACGTCGGGTTCGCCAAGCCCATGCCGCGGAAAAAGGTCGGGTGCGCCTTGAGCGCCTCGCTAACGTAGCTGTGGTCGTGCATGTGGTTTGCGGGCTGCACGACGAGAGCGCCGCCGACGCCCGCCTCCCTGGCGGCGGCGAGGAACGCCTCGGGTGATCCTGCGGAGCGCAGGTCGGCCGGCGGCGGGCTTGCCCAAGGAAAGGGCGCCTCGCCGTCGGACCAGAGGTGGATGGCAGAGTCAATCACTCGGCTCGCTCCCGTCATCGATGCGGCGGTCGAGCCGGGCGTCGGAAACGTGGCGAGGGTGGCGAAGCTCGTGGCGAAGAGCCGGCGGCCCAGATGCATGCAAACCCAGGAGTCGGCCGCGGAGATCGGCGCGAAATCTCGAGAAATCGCTTTTCTCGCTCGGCAACCACAAGGGGTGCAGTGCGGTCTGCCAGCGCAACTCGAGGGCCGGCCCACACGGCCCGCGCGGCAGAGCACAGGTGACAAGAAGGTGGCGCAGGCGGCGCACGCGCGGGCGTGTGGCCGGCGGCGGCGTGGCGGCAGCGCTGGCGGCGGCTGGCCCCGCGGCGCGCGGGCTCCCAAGGCCGATGCACCTCACGGGCACCGGCGGGCACCGCGGCGGCACCCTCGGCCACAGGCCGGTGTAGCATCGGGTCAGACGCGCGTCGGTCAGTGACTCCTGGAGGGTTCTGGCACGTCGCCGAGAGCTAGCTAGACGACGCCCACCTCACCAGCGACGCCGAGCCGCTCGCACAGCAGCCCTGTGGCTGTGCTAAACCGAGACGTGCAGCATCCCGGTGTATGCGAGACCGAGGAGTGCAGCACAGGCCGGGTGTAGCATCGGGTCAGATGCGCGTCGGTCCGTGACTCGTGGAGGGTTCTGGCGCGTCGCCGAGAGCTAGCTAGATGACGCCCGGCTCGCGAGCGACGCCGAGCCGCTCGCACAGCAGCCCTGTGCTAAACCGAGACGTGCCGCATCCCGGTGTATGCGAGACCGAGGAGTGCAGCACAGGCCGGTGTAGCATCGGGTCGGACGCGCGTCGGTCAGTGTGACTCGTGGAGGGTTGGAGGGTTCTGGCATGCGCCGCCGCCGCCGCCCCAGCCCCCGCCGCCGCCCCCGCTGTAGCGTTTGGGGGGCGACTGGCGACGGCAAAAATGCAACCCGTGGCCACTGTTAATGTGAGAAAGAAAAGAAAGAAAACGTATGACCCAAGGGAGGGATGGGACTATTATTGTGAGAAAAAGAAGAAAGAAAGAAAACGCCGATACCTTTTTCTTTTCCGCAACAACGATGACTTCCACCCCCGGCGCCGCATCCACCTCGACCATGTGCGTGGTCCCACTGCGCACAAACGGCCGTGCCCACTTCAGCCTCGACGCGGGCCCGATGCCCGCCTCGCTCGTCGGCCGGCTCTCGGAGGCAGAGTACTACGGCGTCACCGAAAGGATAAACAAGGCGTTGCTGCCGCTGGCGCACTTTGGCCTGTCCTCGCTCCTGCTCCCGTTCCTCGCGATCGACGCGCTCACCGTGGCGGTGCTCTACGGCGCCGACCCGTCGCTCCTCGTCGCGCCGCTGTCTCAGGACCTTCCCGACCTGCTGCTGCCCGTGCTGCTCGAGATCACTCTCGTCGCCGCCGCCTTCCCGCTCGTCTCGCTGCTCGTCTCGCGGCGCATCGGGCGCGTGCAGGCGCTGGTGCGCGAGGTGCTCGACGACGCATCGCGCACATTTGCTCCGCGCGGCGTCCACTTTTCCCTCAAGCTCGGCGTGACTGGCGCGGGCGCCTCGACAAACATGTGGGTCGAGATGCAGGCCCGCGCGCCGCTTCTCCACCCGCGCGTCATACTCCGCCAAGCCACGTCGCTCTCGCCGCGTTCCCGACCGCCGCCGTCGACCGCCCCCTCCCGCCCGCAGGTCGCTCCGCTCTTCCGTGTGCCCGTGCCCGTGCCTGTGCCGACCCTCTACCCGATCCTGCTCCCGTCGGCGAACGAGCACGCCGCGCCGGGGGGGCCCCCCCCCCCTCGCCCGGCCTGGGCTCCCCCCCCCCCCCTTTCCTTCTCAACACCCCCCCCCCCGCCCTCCCCCCTCTCCCGCCGCCTCCAGGCGCCTCGCCGCCCAGCCCGACGCCAGCAAACAGCAAGCAACCGCAAGGCCGGGCGCAGCCGCAGCCGCCGCTCGAGCCCTCCTCCTCCGCCGCAGCTTTGCGGGGCGAGGCCTCGCACGAGGCGGCGCAGGAGGGGGGCGCCGCGCCCGGCTCGCTCGCCGAAGAGGCGCGCGGCGCACGAGTCACCCTCCCCGCCTCTCCCTCCCCACCTCCTCTCCCCACCTCCCTTGCCCTCGCTCCCTCCGCCGGGGGGGCGCCACCAGGGGGCAGAGGCCTCGCGCCCACCTCGCAACTGCCACGCCTCACGCCGCCGGCGCGTGCAGGTGGCCGCGGCTGCGGCGGCGGGCAGCCTCACCCCGCAGCAGCAGGAGTACTTGCGAGTGCTGCAAGAGAACCAGCTGTTGCGCCAGTACCTCGCGCAGACGCAGGCGCGCCTCTATTGGGACTACGCCACTCACTAAAGGCCCTATACGCGCTAAAGGCCTATACGCGCGGCGTGAGAGCTCGGAAGCGAGCTTTGCACGGCGATCACGCCTCCGACCCGCAAGCTCACCCGCCTCACCGCACGGCGTCCTCGCCCTGCCCCCGCACCGCAGGCGCTCGTCCAGCTCCAGGCGCAGCACGCCAGTGCCCTCGCCGCACGGACGCAGCCGCCCGCCGGACCTGCCGCCTTGGATGCCGCGGGCTAGCGGGGCGCAGCCGAGCACGCGAGCGCGTGGAGCGCACACGGCCGTACACGGCCTCTGCGTGCGTGCCACCATCCCTCGCGGATCATCGAGAGCACACCTCGCGCCCGCACGAGCCAGGCCTGCTGAGTGGGTTGATGCGGCACATTTGAGTTGCTGCTGCGTGTGCCGTGTCCGTGTGGTCCTGTAGCTATACCTAACCAAAAGAAGAAGAAGGGATCTCGTATTCCGTCCTATTCCGGAGTCTTCCGGGACCCGATATAAGGAAGAAGCGATATTTAAAAAAAGGGCATTGCGCGGCTAAAGGGGAAGGACCCTGAGTTGAACAGGGGTTGTGCGCCAAGCCCTCCTGCTCGGCTCCAGCGAGTAGACAAGTGTTGTCATCAACAGAGTAGAAGGATCTGACCTCGGGGCCGATGTGACCAAGCGCTGGTAGCATGGTTTTACCTCACACCCATGGTCTCACAGTGTGCCGGCAGTCGCCGCACAGTGTCGCTCACACAAGCCGCAGCACAAGTGACTGAGGGCCAGTGAGGGCGAGCCCATCGCTGTCACAGCTGTGGCAGCCGCACAGTAGGCTGTGCCATCTGTGCAGAGCGTGTGAGCAGCAGAGGAGCTTCACTCCAAGCTTCAGGCGCAAAGAGCTGCATGCCACCGAAGGCGCTGTCGAGGTTCGCCGAGCGCGGCGCAGGTTGGAGGAAGCCGTCACCGACGAGCGCGTTGGACTTTTCACTCCGGACAAAGACGGGGACACAGCGGACGGTGCGGGGTGTGTCCCCGTCTTAGCGGCGAGGCGCGGGACCGTCTGTGGCGAAGTGGGTCGCGTCCTCCGATTTCCGTCAACTCACGGTCCTTCCCCCGTAGCCCGACCTTCAAAAGCACAAAGAAAGAAAGAAAAAACAGAGAAGCCAAACGAGGGATGGGAGAAGGGACAGGGTCATCCTCCCCACCTGCACGAGCAGGATCTTGCTAATATTAGGGATCTTGGAAGGACGATCAGGGACACAGGGTTCAACAGGGGGACGGAGTGGGGAGCGCATCGCGACACGGAGGGGATATCTCTCTCTCGGAGGGGCAACAAACAATCTCTCTCTCTCGGAGGGGGGCTGGGAAGGGACAAGGGTTCACCCACACGACAGGGTTATTCTTCAAAATAAATAAACAAAGTGCAGTAGAAAATCCAAAATCCAAATCGCAAACATAGAAACCCAAACACACACAGCCACGTGGCATAGGAGAGCAGGAGGTGAAAGGAGGCAAGTTGCAAGGACGCACGAGCGAATAAATAAAACGGACATGCCAAGCTAGGGCTGGTCCTTCAAAAGGTAGGTAGGTAGAAAGGTGAAGAACAGTCAGGGGTGTTCAAAAGCACCTCGCCGTGCAGTGTTTCTTCTCAGCTGAGAGCATCGTTGGGCTTGCCCTGCGCAGCGGCGCGCCCCTCAGAGTCGCGCGGCGACCAATGAAACCATGGATGCAGCCGATGGCATCGAGCACCGCCCCGCCGGCGGCGCCCGGGATCGGCGAGGCATGTGGCTCGCCGCAGCTCGACTCGGCCTGCGCGCGGCTTCGGCCATTTAGCCCGCCCTTATGCCGGATAGGAGTGCGGCGACTTCAAGCGCGGCGCCTGCTTCCGTGCGTCGTGCAAGTTCTTGCACGGCGGGAAGCCCGCCTCCGAGGCGGCGAGTGCCGTCGCGAACGCCAACGGCGGCGCCGCTGGCCTGCCCACGCCGCGTGCGGCCGGTAGTTTTGTCGCTCCCGACGGCCTCGATGTCAAGCTCTTCGACCCGACCACAGGCCGTCGCCGTCGCCGCCGCGAGCTCTCGCGCCGCGTCAGGCCGCTCGGCCGCCGACGCTCCTCCTCTCCGCCCCCCGGCAGGCTTTGGTCTCTTTGGCACGCCCGTGTGGGGCACCCGATACGGCTCGACGCAGCCGCTGCAAAAGATTGAAAACGTGCGGCCGCTCTGCATGGACTTCTTCAAGTCGGGCTTCTGCAACCGGAAGGGCCCGCACAACCAGGGCTGCCTCTTCCGCCACGACGAGATCGAGGGCAAGGGCAAGATCGAGGCGCCGCCCGGCGCCGACGCGGCCCCTCGACCCCTCGCGCCAACCGACGGCCCCGGCGCCGCGTGCAGGTGCCGAGCGCCTTTGACAAGGAGTCGACGTGGGAGGTGGACCGGTTCGGGCTCGAGGCGACGGGGCGGCTGCGCCCCGCCGGCGCCGGCTCCACCTCGCTGCAGGAGTTGACCCAGGCGGCGGCGGAGTACGCGGCTCGGCGCAAGGAGCGCAGCCCGCGCCTCCTCGCCCCAAGCCTCCTCGCCCCAAGCCTTGTGGCGCCGCGACCCTAGGCGCAGCTCGAGGCGGAGGAGAAGGCGGCCGCGGACGCCGCTGCGGCGGCTGAGCGGGCGGCGGCGGCGGCGGCGGCGGCGGCAGCTGCGGCACCAGCGAGCAGCGCGCCGCTTCCGGAGGGGTGGAGGGAGGCCAAGGCTCCGGACGGGCGGACCTATTACTACCACGCGGCGACGAAGGAGACGAAGTGGACTCGGCCGACGGCAGCGCCGGGAGCGGCGCCGACGCCGCTTCCCGAGGGGTGGAAGGAGGCCAAGGCTCCGGACGGGCGGACCTATTACTACCACGCGGCGACGAAGGAGACGAAGTGGACTCGGCCGACGGCAGCGAAGGAAAGCCGGCGCGGTTGCAGTATCGACTTCGTGTCCTCACGACTGCCTCCCGCCATAGGCGGCTGCGCCTGCGTCAGCACTTGCGTCAGCGCCTGCAGCGGCCACCAACGGCCACGGAGGCGCGAGCACGGCGGAAGCGGCGGACGAGCCCGCAGCCAAGCGCGCGAGGCCCGACGCGGGGGCTGACGCCTCCGAATGATGTTGATGAGTCCGTTTTCGGCCTCCCTTTGGACACTTGTCGCCCTCCTACGCGCACGAAGACACACGAGACCACACGCGGTGCACGGGCACGCCCTGGCCGCGCGATAGGCGTACAAATCGTGTCTGGCCGCATAGGTGATAGGAGAAACACAGCAAGAGGTGGGGTCGGGTCGGCCCACGCATGTCGTTGTCTTCATATATGTTGCGTACAGTATTCAGGTCCGGTGTTAAAATCGCACCGTGTGTGCGTGTGCGTGACGACCGCGGTTACGGGTTGGCCGCGCCGGTGCCCGACCCGGCACCCCTCTCGAGCCCCGCGAGCCGCGACGCGCGAGAGCCGAGAGGCTCTCTCCTCTCATCAGACATCACTCTAGCACTACAAAGCAGTACGTGGTCCACACCGCACCAGGGAGGTACGGCTCGCCGCCATCGAGACGATGCGGCTTTTTGGGCGCCTCCGCCGCCGCCGCACAATCCATTGGAGGAACGCGCTCGGCCAAGGCCGACGCACATCCACTGCGGTGAGAGCGCGCGCCTCGCTGGCGAGGACCAAGTCGACCATGCCCAGGGCGCCCGCATCAGCGCCGCCCGCGCCGAGCAGCAGGTCGGAAGCGTTGAATGCGATCCCGCTCGCCCGATACCAGCGCAGCACCATCGGTGCCGCCGGCAGGAGGCAGTGACGCATGTAGGCGTGCCGCCGGTGCGTCTCCCCGTCCTGGTGGGAGTGGACCAAAGTCGCGATGTCGGACGCAATCACCGTGCTCCGCGAGGCGACGGCCGTCAGCTGTTCGAGGCAGGACGCGAGCCGCTTGGGGCAGCCCGCAGAGGAGACAGCATACAGCTCGTGCGCCACGTGGTTTGAGCGGAGCTGCACGGCGTCGAAGGTGCCAAAGGCCAAGCCGTGAGAGGCGAGGAAACGTCTCGCGGCGTGGATGATTGCTCCAGACGGCTGCATGATGCTGTCGCGGCGAGCCACTGCGCCCGAAACCAGAGGCGTGGCGTCGTCGTGCCTCCGCAAGTTCAGCAAGACGACGCGGCGGTAGCGCTGGAGCACGGCCAGTCGCTGCGATCTGCGCAGCGCCGCCCCGGCGAGGCACGCCAGCGGCCAGCCTCGGCCAAGGTGGCGCCTGTAAAGAGAAAGCGCGCGCGCGCGATCCCACGACAGCGAGTGTGGGGACTACATGATCCGTACGTGAAGGGTGGGGCCCGTCCGCAGAGCTAGGCGGCGTGGGCGCCCCCCACTGGGGCCGAGGGTAAGAGGACGTCTGCCGCTTGCTCATCACATGACAAGCGATCCCACGATTGCGAATGCGGGGACTACATGATTACAGGAAGGGTGGAGGCTGGAGGGCCCGTCTGCAGAGCTAGGCGGCGCGGGCAGCCCCCACTGGGGCCGAGGGCAAGAAGCCGTTCGTCGCTTGCTTGTTCTTTTGCTTGTTGATCCTGTAAAGAAGAAATCGCGCCACGCCAGTGCTGACGAAGAGGATTGTAACGCACGCGAGATGCACGTGGGATTCAATTTCTGCGCCTCGCCGGTCGACTTCGTGTGATTGTCCTCCCCGAGTATGTCGCTTTCGTGTCCCATTCCACGCGCGGCCGCCGCAATCCTCTTCATGATGCTGCTGCTGCTCCCCCTCCCCTCCGCCATGACAGCAACACCTTAAACTTTTAGGCCCTCCAGATTCGGGTCGGAGCGTAGCGGAGTGGGCCCCGAGTTTGAAAAGGGCGACGGGCGCTTGCGTCCTAGCCTCCAACAACGCCTCCCCGGCGCAGAGGGGCCCCCGGAGGGATGCTCAACCGCTCCACGCCACGCCGCTCGCGGCGGTCCTATTCCCAGCTCCGCTGAGGGCCCGTGCGTTATTTTCCCGCCCCGTGTGTCTTCGGCCCCTTCGGTGTGTCTTCGGCCCCGCCCTCCAGAGAAGCAGTGCCGCCGGATCAGCCGCCCCATGTCGCCTCGCTTGGACCTGCTGCTCGCATCCACCAAAGCGGCCAAAGACTCGAGAGCCGCCGCGGATGCCGCGAAGGATGAAGCCGACGCCACGTTCGAGGCTCAACTTGCCGAACTGGTCGCGACTGCGTCCGCGGCTGCACTGAAGCGAGGCCACGGCGGTGCCCTGGCGCTGCGGCCTCCGCCGGGAACGAGGCCCGCCGAGTGGACGCAGCTTCGCACGCTTGTCGGCGCGATCGTCGCGGCGCTCGAGGGCAGCGGCGCAGAGGCCGTGCTCAGCGAATGCGGCCTCGGCCTCAAAGGCATCGACTTCAAGACCGTGGGCGGAGGAGCGACGCCCTGGAGGGTCCAGTGGTTTGATGAGGGGCGGAAAATGGCGCGGTGCTTTGCAACACCACTCGAAGCGGCCGCCTTCTTCGCCCTCCGCTTCGGCGACAGCGTCGCGAAGCGCGATGCCACGCGGGTGACGCACCTCTCGCACGCTGAGGCGCTCGCGGCTGCCAAGCAGGAGGACCTGGAGCTCTGGGAGGGCGAGGGCGGGCAGAGCTACTTTGCGGTGACCGAGCTTTGCAAGCGAGCCTACGTCCGCATGCCAGCGCTGGTGCGCTGGGCGGGCCGCGAGCCAGAGGAGGCGGAGCTTGCAACCCTCGTGCCCGAGGGCGGCTTCGGCTCTAAAGCGCATGCAGCCCTCGCCATCGCACAGTCGGCGCTCGGGCGGGAGGCCCGAGCAGCCTTCCTAGCCTCCAAGGCACAGAAGGCGGAGGTGCAAGTGGCCGGCGGCAACAAGTTGAAGTCAATCTCCATCTCCGCCTTCCGCCAGCTGCTGTACGTCGCGCTGCTCCTGCCGCTCGAGTTCGGCTTCTCCCGCTCGGCCGAGTGGGTGCACTCGACGCAGGCGCAGCTGCCAAGGAAGCTCGTCAACGCCATGCAGGTGACGCGGTTCGGGCTGGCCTCCATCTCCTCCGTCCTCTGCCGCATCGGGGTGCGTCGCCTCCCCCCTCCGCCCCTTTGCCCCGCCATGCCCCGCCCTGCACACACGTCGGCGCGCCACAGGTGCGCATTGCGGGGTGGATGGTGCCGAGCTGGCGCATCAGCAGTGGGATCGACGCCGGCCTGCTGACAGTCTACCTCTTCTACTTTGCCCTGCTTCACTGGCTGCAGATTCCGTGCGACAGCGAGCTCGCGCTCGGGGCGGGCGTCACTGAGGCGGTCCTGCTGGCCTTCCTCGCCAGCGAGGTGATGAACCCCTCGGGGTACCGGCTCTGGCTCCTCTTCCTCCCCAGCATCGTGTGCGTCATTGCTGTCCGCGCCGCCCG